TCTGCGATCTATATCTCTTTGTGTATCCTTACTTGCGGTCTCGCTTATCTGCTTTTCCGATGGCTTCCCAGGTGGTACGTTGGTCTGCTTGGACAAGCAACCTCGCTTGGAGAGTGCGAATGGGTCGTGATAGAGAACCAATGGGGTGAACTTGTCACCATGGATGTTCGATCTCAGATTTACGGCCGACCTCTATCAACCATCTTTGGCCTACCTGAAAAATTCTACTCCGATGCATTGGACGAGGATGTCGACCCAATTGTTGACGACCTCCGAACACTGGATTACCGTTATATCCGACTGTGCTTTCACCCTCTTAAAGACAAGTTCATGCTCTTCAATGGCTGGAAAGATCCAAACTGGACTGATGTGCGACTGACCCGTGCTGGTCTGGATACCGATGAGAGGGGAGTTCGTGAAGTTGTCTTTGGCAGCAACCTCATCGATATTGCACAGAAGACAACTGGGCAGCTTCTAGTGGACGAAGTTCTACACCCTTTCTACGTTTTTCAGATCGCTAGTCTTGTTCTGTGGTCTATGGATAGCTACTACTATTATGCGGTTGCAATCTTCCTCATGTCGGTTGGTAGTATTGCTGCTACCCTCATTGAGACCCGAGCTACCATGAAGCGTCTCCGTGAGATCTCGCGATTCGAATGCGACGTGCGAGTTCTTCGAAACGGTTTCTGGCGATTCATCAGTTCAAGTGAACTGGTACCTGGAGATGTCTACGAATTGAGCGACCCCAGTTTAACACAGTTCCCCAGTGACAGTCTTTTGCTTACCGGAGACTGCATAGTCAACGAAAGTATGCTGACTGGCGAATCTGTTCCCGTTTCGAAGTTGCCAGCCACCGACGAGACTTTGCGTACAATGGACCTAGGAGCGTCTTCAGTTACCCCTGAGACGGCCAGACACTTCCTGTTTTGTGGTACCAAAATCATCCGCGCCAGAAGGCCTCAGGAAGACCAAGGAGACGACGCTGTTGCGCTCGCCCTCGTTGTCCGGACTGGTTTCAACACTACAAAAGGTGCCCTGGTGCGATCAATGCTGTTCCCCAAGCCTTCTGGTTTCAAGTTCTACCGCGATTCATTCCGGTACATCAGTGTCATGGCTATTGTCGCTGCTATTGGGTTCCTGGCTTCATTGGTCAACTTCATTAGACTTGGAATTGCATGGCATCTCATTATCGTGCGAGCGCTCGATCTTATCACAATTGTTGTACCTCCCGCACTGCCTGCAACTCTGACTATCGGTACCAACTTTGCTCTCAGCCGACTGAAGAAGAAGCAGATCTTCTGTATCAGCCCTCAGCGAGTGAATGTTGGTGGAAAAATTGATATCATGTGTTTTGATAAAACAGGAACCCTGACGGAAGAAGGACTAGATGTTTTGGGTGTTCGAGTTGTTGATCGTGACTCAAAGAAATTCAGCGAGATTGTGACTGAGCCTCAGATGCTCTTGGCTGAAGCAACACGACAGAACGCCCAGGATACCTACCGCGCCGCATTGCACACTATGGCTACCTGTCACTCTTTACGGTCTGTTGATGATGAGCTCGTGGGAGATCCACTGGATCTCAAGATGTTTGAGTTCACACGCTGGACATACGAAGAAGGAAAGCAGAATGCTTCTGAAGAAGATGAGGAGCAAGGTGGACTGGCACCCTCTATTGCACGACCACCTAACGTATGGCCCCTGCGCTGACCGTGGGAAACTGACTACTGACAATTTTATAGGGCAACATCGAGCTTGGAGTACAGAAGTCTTTTGAATTCGTTTCCAATCTGCGGCGCGCCAGTGTCATTGTTCGACAATTCGGCCAAAAAAGTGGTGACATCTTTGTGAAGGGTGCCCCTGAGTCGATGAAAGAGATCTGTCGTCCTGAAAGCTGTAGGTTTCCTGACGGCATTGAGATGTTCAAGCTGGCTAACCTCCCACAGTCCCTGATGATTACGACGAGCTTCTGTCTTGGTATACTCACAAAGGTTATCGTGTTATCGGTGTTGCTAGCCGCCATCTCAAGAAGCTTAGCTGGGTCAAGGCTCAGAAGATGACTCGAACCGAAGTTGAGAGTGATCTCGACTTTGTTGGTTTCATTGTTTTCGAGAACAAGCTTAAGCCCACGACTGCTGCAGTTCTGGAGGAGCTTCTGGCGTCCAACATTGGTGCAGTCATGGTAACCGGTGACAACATCTTGACGGCCATTAGCGTGGCCCGAGAATGTGGTCTCATGGATCGAAAGGCTCATTGTTTCGTACCGCGCTTCATTGAGGGTATGTTTCATATTTGAAAGAAGTTGTGGAAAGTATGCTAACTTGACCACCAGGTGATTTCCGTGATGCAGAAGCCAAGATTCAGTGGGAGAGCATTGACAACAACTTGTATCACTTGAACGAAAAGACCTTGCTTGTAAGTTTTTATTGCATACGCGACCAAAGTTGATCAAGACTAACACCAACAGCCTCTACCCCCTCCTCCGGAGGCAGATGCTTCGCTGCCTTTTGAGATTACCAGCCTTCGTAACTATACTTTAGCTGTCAGCGGTGATGTTTTCCGATGGATGGTTGACTTTGCGTCGCCACAAGCACTTCAACGGGTCAGTTCTCATTCTTCTTCGACTGTTGCCCTCGCTAATCACCCTGTAGATGCTCATCAATGGTAAAGTATTTGCCAGAATGTCTCCTGATGAGAAGCATGAGTTGGTCGAGAAACTGCAGAGCATTGATTACACGTGTGGTTTCTGTGGTGACGGAGCAAACGACTGCGGTGCTTTGAAGGCCGCAGATGTTGGCATCTCTTTGTCTGAGGCAGAAGCCTCCGTGGCAGCTCCTTTCACTTCTCGGGTGTTTGACATCCGCTGTGTCTTGGAAGTTATCAAGTAAGTTAAGAGAAACAACTCGGTTGAAAAAGTCTAACCATCTCTTAGGGAGGGCCGGGCCGCTTTGGTGACTAGCTTCAGTTGTTTCAAGTACATGAGTTTGTACTCGGCAATTCAGTTCACATCAGTCACGTTCCTTTATGCCAGGGCTTCCAATTTGGGAGACTTCCAGTTCCTCTTTATCGATCTTGCTCTTATTCTTCCGATCGCTATCTTCATGGGATGGGCAGGACCTGCTCCAAGACTTTGCCGCAAGCGACCTACCGCGGACTTGGTCTCACGCAAGGTGCTCACGCCTTTGTTAGGATTCATGCTTATTTGCATCTTTTTCCAGGCTGTGACGTATGTTACAGTCAAGGAGCAGCCATGGTATATTCCTCCCGTGGTGCATAAGGATGAGCCTAGCATTGAGAACTCGCAAAACACGGCACTCTTCCTGTTTTCATGCTTTGAGTATATCCTTTCAGGAGTTATTCTCAATGCTGGACGTCCATTCCGACAACGGACCACACAGAACTGTAAGTCTCCTCACTCACCACTCAATAGCCAGAGCTGACTATGTGATAGGGCCGTTTGCCATAACCATCTCCATCGCCCTCTTGATAACTGTCTACATGATCCTGACTCCTGCTCAGTGGGTCGTGGATCTGATGCAGCTGACAGATATGAGCTGGGACTATGAACTGTTCCTAATTGGGCTGGGTGCCGCATACTTTATCGTGGCCTGGGCTTTTGAGCACTTCCTTGCCCTGAGACTGGCTCGATTGATAGGCACAGTCAAGCAGTCAGTGACTGGAAAGACCAAGAAGCGCAAAGAGTATAAGGTGATTGCTGAAGCATCGCGGATTTAAGCTGGAGTAAAAAAGCAATTTGCGTAGGTATTGGATGAAAGATGGTTTGATGTTTCTGAGCGTTGATTGGAGTCGTTGATAGAGTACACAGACTGCGAAGAAGGTATGAAGTTGTTAGTCTCATCAGAGATCAAAAATACAAGAGGTTTGGTTGAATAAAAGACCAATGCCTTAATTTGTATAAACATGTTTGCTGAATCAATTCTCAGCTGTGAATAAGAAGGATCTGGAGGTTCAATGACGCAAATTGAATGGCTATGCGCCAACGGGGGCAATTGTTCCTTAAAACACTAGAACTTGAGTAAACCTGGGTTCTCGATTTTCCCATAATTAGAGCATAGGAATTGGTGATAGGGAATGTGACATATTGGTACTCGGAATATCATGCGCATCACGTTGGAACTGTCGTTTGATCTTTTCCTTCAATTCAAGAGCCTTTTCTGCTCTATATACACCGCATTGACCCGTCTTGTTCTCTAATATCGACACCCAATGCCTTCTCTGTTGTAATTGCCGCAGGAATGGAAGTAATCGTATATGGTAATCGTTTAATGGTCCCAAGGGTGCTTGAGGCCGAGGAGAACGGCACCTGAAGTGTGTTAGCCATTGATCTCGAGACAAACTCCTCGCAAGACACCGAATGCGTAAGAACATACCGTCCTTCTTTGCCCGGTACATAAGCTGTTATTTCATTAGCAATCCATTCGTCTAAACGTGATAACCTCGCTTCGATGCTCTGATGCGTCGTTCAAAAGCGTAAGGTTCTGGGATGACTCACGAAGAACCACATGCCAGCACCTAGAGCTGTCGCGGTAAATCGATAGATACGGGGAACGTGAGCCACCGGGGGCTTAGGAGGGCCGTTGAAGCTGTGGTGACCGTGACCAGCCATGATGAAGTTGGATCTGATAGTCGCTCGTTTCGGGGTTTCGGACTGCAAAGATCGGAGGCGTTAGTGGGAATTGAACTTGGTCGAGGTAATGAGACGAGTGATGTAGCGCGATTGACGTACGTAGAGACCGAATTGGGAGCCGTGGACGAGGCGACGAGGATAGTGATGATACGGCAATGGTCAGTCTTGATGGAGTCGTTGAACCGGGCCAATTCGGTGATGGCCCTGCTTAGGTAAGGGGAGCTCATGATTGGGTGGACTCGTTATGCGGTGTCTTACGGTTTAGTGCATGCGCATGCTAATAGTGGATAGAGCGCTGTATAAGAGCACGTCTTGCGTGCATCATCATGAGTGGGGTTCCGCCCACTCTAGTTCCGGCAATCATAGCGACGAGGCAAGCAGCGCAACCCATAAGATACCACCTTGCGTTTAACAAGAGCTTCGTTGGCTAAGGTACTTAGACTAAGGTGACTTGCATTTTGTCTGCCTGGATCTTTGTTACTCGAATCTCTATCGTTTCCTTTCAAGCTGAAACCCCGTGTTATTTACTTCCGCGTTGTCCTTCGCAAGCTCGATAGCTAGCTTCCTTGAACTAGCTCCCCACGTTCGCCAAGCAATGACCGTCTAGAACCATCATCTAAAGACCGTATATATATCTTTTGAGGGAACCTCCATTTCTGTGACACAAGACTTGCAAACGAACGTCGCAAGCAACCTCGCCATGGCGACTCCGAAGTTCAGCTCGAAATCGCCTACGATTAGACGTATACGTAAGTGGCCAGCTCTAACACATACGAAACATTTGAATAGAGCATCGTCACTTCGAATTATCGATCCCATAGCTAACTCGAGCTCTAGTTCGTGAAGCAGCCGAAATCTCCAACTCCCCTTCTGCCGATTACACAGCCGAGCCCCTCGAATCCGACCTGTTCGAGTGGCACTTCACACTCAAGGGACCACCCAACTCAGTCTACAGCAACGGCATCTACCATGGTCGCATAGTTCTTCCACCCACATACCCTCTTCGACCGCCTTCTTTCCGCTTCATGACACCAAGTGGTCGATTCGAAGCTAATCGTGAGATCTGTTTGAGTATCAGTGGCCATCATGAGGAGACGTGGCAACCTGCATGGGGAGTACGGACAGCTCTTGTAGCGTACGTTTTCCTGCCCGTTCTTGAAGGCATTGCATTAGCTGACATTTCTTGTTGTGTAGGCTCCGAAGTTTTATGGAGACTGATGCTCGTGGCCAACTAGGTGGTCTTGAAACCACCGACGCAGTGCGCCAACGCCTCGCCAACGAGTCACCGGCATTCAAATGCGCAACATGCGGGAAGACAAACGGCGAGATTATCAAGGAATGCGAAGAGCGAGCAAAGGAAGCATCTTCAAGTGCACAGGAAGTTGAGATCCCTAAAGAGTTGAACATGGGATGGCGCGATGAGATGGGAGCAAAGAAAGAGGGCGAGAACACGCCCGAGCAGACAAACGACGACGCCGAGACAGCTCAACTTGCAGAGGGATTTGTTCAGACCGCACCAGATGGTGTTACAGCTGCCAACGATTCTTCGGCCCCTCAACCACCGGCGGAGAACCGAAACCACACTCCGACCCGAACTATCCCCCTCCCTGTCCCGGCGGCTCAAGGACTTGTACCACAGGCTGCGGCTGCGGCACAAGCACAGCAAGCTCGAAGAGCAACGGACGACGGTGTTCCTCTGTGGCTTGATCGAACTATCGTTGTTTTAGTGGTGCTTTTGGTGGCTCTCGTTCTCAAGATCATTTTTGCTGTGTGATGACTTTATTTAGGGTTTCAAATGTTATTGTCGGCATGGCTGGCGTATGGTGTTTTCACATGGATCAGTCAGTTAAGGGGCGAATTAGATATCCGGTCAATTCGAGTCTGGTTTGATTACTGTCTTGAACGTGAGGTAGAAGTCATAGTATACTATATTACTCGACCATCTGAACCTAGTGAACCAACATCTTTGATCCGCTCGATTGGGAAGAGAAGAAGACTTGGATGGGGAACTCCAGTCTTTTCGATCTGAGGAAGACAGACGACCACATTGGAATTTGATCACTTAGATAGGGGCTCTGCTGTGAATCTGAGAAGGTTCAGCATTCACGACAGGCCAGGCGCACCTGAAGGTTAATGTTGCCACGCCCCAATAACAAAAGCACGAAAGCTTTTGCATTGGGTGCCCATGTGCGTAGCTTAAACCTTGTTTCAGCAAAAATATAAAAGGCACCAGATAACCATTCCTAAAGTCAAACATACAGATCTACTATTTTCTACGGTAAACTCCCATCATCTCTGCCACCTTTGACCACTGGCAATAACCGCTTCCCTAGAAAACCTAGGTACCTACCGCACACATACATCACCGCAGGTCTGATCTGGTATCTGGCAAGGTCACTGTCATGATTGAGCCTGAAACCTCCACCCCCGGCGACGCCCTCAGCCCTTGGAAGCTGGAGATGGCCACTCGCGGGTATTACATCCAGTCCAAGATTTTACACATCCCCGATCGATTCGGCTTCCTTTCTCCTGGCCCACCTTCGCTCCAGGTATTCGATGTCGACGGAGTCATCGCGCTGTTGGTGTATTTATCTATCATGTGCGCCATTGAAGCTCTGGTCCTTATTCATTCATGGCTGTATGAATACTTTAGGTGGTTTATCGTCTACTTATTCTTGTGGACAAACTGTGAACTCATTGTGGGTATGTGGATCATAACATGTATCGGCCATTACTTCAAGCGTGGCCACGGCGAGGGCTCCCGCACTGCGAGCATTGTGGTCGAAGAAAAAGCCCGAGGCAGTGATGCAGTGATTGGTCGACGAGGTTCGTCACTTGGATTTGGAATTCAGCTCAGAAGTCATGGAGAGAGTGGTTTGGACAAAGACAAGGACGATTAAAGCCAGCTGGTAACGCCGAAGGCTCTTGCAACACACACTATCTCCCTCAGTAACTTCCTCTCCATGCCATCGCAGCAAGGCCATGAACACAGTGAGAAAAAGAAGAAAGCCCCCAGGCGCGAACAAAGTCCTTGTCGACCAAGCCCTCAGATGTCAATCAACCCCTCAAGTTAAAATGTCAATCAAGCCCCCAGATGTGAACCAAGCCCCGTCAAGTTCAAGTGTCAAGCAAGACCCCAGGTACGAACAAGAAAAGAACCACAGTTATGGAGAGGAAACCGTTACAGTCCCTTACCCCTCTCTGCCCTCCAGTCCAGTGACTGTGGAGCAAAATAGTACCCATCGCCAAAGATACACCAACAGACCTGAACTCGTTGCAAACAGACTGACTTGTCTTTGGCCGGACTTCTGCGCAGCAGGCTGAAGCCCAGCCCAGCCTGCCCCTAAGGCCATTACAGCCCTCGAGGAACGCCTTCCGTCACCCTCACCCGTGACGGTCGAACGATCTTTCATTAAGAATGAAACCACATCTCGAGCTCAAGAGCGAAAAGGGCGCCCGCAACTGCTTTGATGCCGAGCACCAAGAGCGACCACTAGTAGGCTTTGGAGAACCGGACTATCAGTTAAGTCAGTCATGTCAAAAGGATGGATAGCAGGCCGTGATAAGAGAGGAGAGACTGTGAAACAGCATGAGAAATACTCACCAGTGACGACCGACCACCCACCCAGCTTTCGGACACCAAGGGCGATCAGATGCAGGCAGAATTGCACCAGCAGCGTGACTGCGATTTGAGTAACAAATTGGTTCAAGGTCATGTTGGTAACACACAGTTCTTGAAGAATGCTAATCGAGTTGAAGAAGAAGAAGAAAAAATAACGGCGCGGGAGGGTGAAGGCGAAATTTATATGAGTCTCATTCCTTTTCCAAAAGGAAGGACCGTCAAATGACAACTGCAGTGGTCAAGGAAAGGAAGGAAGCAGAACCTTTCGACCGCTCAAGGTTTAGGCAACGGCTTTCCCACTTACAGGGAGATGGAAGGAGATTTGAGACGGCAGGAACGCAGGGCTCATGACTCGACGCCTTAGGATCCCCGATGCCTGACGCTGGTGGTGCATACCTCAGGTAGATGAATAGCGACAGGCTGTTCAGAAGATCGAAGACACGAAAGGCATGCAGTGAACAGCGATATTCACCAAAATAAATAGATGCGCAGGTATCAATACATTACGTGGTGTATTGTTAAATTAAACTGTGAACCTGTCTGGAGGTCAAAATTCTGACGAGAAGATGGAAAAGTCGGGCTGGCATAAGATGGAAGATTAAGACAAATTTGACGGAATATTAATAAACTACCAAAGAGCAAGACTGATAACTAAATCTATACGACTCTGCGAAAATGATGTGTGAGAATAATTATCACAGTTGATCTGATCGATGGCGTAGTTGTGGTTTACACAGGAGCCCCGAGGACATGCTGTAATTTGTTCCGAGGTAGATGTCATAGGTCAGCTTGCAGCCATTACCTGTACATACGACCAAAGGTAGTGGAAAATACGGGATCCCGTCCGCTCTCCCATAGTCAAGCCACTAACCGGCGGATTAGTAGTTGGGTCGGTGACGACCAGCGAATCCCCGCTGTTGTATGTTTTTGCCATTTGCGGCAACTATCACGTCCCTCTTGCACTTCTTTTTGAACCACAAGGCAAATGCTAGTCTATCTTTAGAAGAGGTTACGATAATCTCATCCTAACCTCATAATGAATTCTTCCTAAGTTTATGCTAAATTATCTTAAGTTTAGAATCTCTAGTCTAACTGAATTATCCTCGAGTCTCTCATCTGATAACCTTCAAGCCAGTATCAAGTCACAACTCAGAACAAAAGGAAACCAACTTCAGACAAAAACACAAAATTCCAGCGAAGCAAATTCACAATCTTGCTTCCTCAGGCTAGGTCTGTCAGGGAATGTTTCTGTGTAATCTTGTACTTGGCGGTCTCTCTTTATATGCTTGGACATGCCTGGCTGATCGTTGCGTTTTTCGTCGCATCCTTGGAAAGGGCATTCGCATTTGATGTCGTCGCGTATATTCTTTTGACGTGTGTCACCCGCTTGTCTGTCGGTCGTGTATTGCTTGTTTCATCCGTCTTTCGGGCACTCGAGCTCCGTCCCGCTTTGGTGAGAACTGGTAGAGTGAACGGTATGTCTCGTACTATTATATGTCTTGGTGTACCTGAGCTCCGGGCAAGACCGCATTGCCACTTGGCCAAGTGCATTAGTATGTGCCCTGTTTGACTCTGTTGAATGATCTTGATTGATGGAGTCGTAATACTCTCGGCCTGGAAGGACTGGCCCTCTTCGCTGGTCCTGGAATGCTCTATTCATCCTCCGCGGTATCCTACTTGGACAGGTATGTTCCTCTGGCCTGTCTTCCAGTCTTAAACATTGCTAGGATTCTCTTTTCCAGACGTGCTCGCACACTTATATTGTGGTCCGTAAGAGAAGTTGGATCCAAAGTTCTGAATCAGAGGAATACGAATTACATCCTGTGAGGGTATGTTTTGGCAGCATCCACTGGCTAGAACCTTCTAAGAAGCTAAAGGTCGAAATGATGACGGTTCGATATAAGCACAATAGTGTCAGGCGAGATGCCGCTTTGTTGAAGTTGACGGTTGACGGCAAATTTCATGTACATCCAGTTTCTGTAGTTATTGACAGGAAGCCCCTAATTGTCGATATTAGGTAGGGTGTTGTAATATATAGACATGGAAAAACCTACCTTGCTGAAAGATAATGTCTTGTCTTTCGTGTGTCGGGTATGATGAAGTTCAGCCGTGTTGCCGATGATGGTTCGGTTGCTGATGGCCCTTTTTCCCTGAAATCCTTGGAGATGTTCTGATGATGGTATGTCCATCTATACAGCAGAGCCCTGTAACTCTGTACTCAATCTCAATCTCAATCTCAACTGGAAAGGGACAAGTTTTGACCGTTGATACTCCTTCGGGCTCGTGTATATCTTCCATAATGGCTTCGCTGCTCTCGAGCGGCGGCTTCAAACATGCTTCTGTGGTTCTACGCGATAATGATTATGAATATGTAGTTGCCAAAAGTCAGCTTGATCGATCATCTGGAAAGTATGCACTCACCGTGTCGTGGGTATGTCATTTATGGGCCCTATAAATCCAGGGGGTATGTTCCATCATGAGAAGAGTTGATATGATTCCAAGTAGACCGGTGCCAAGTCCGCGGCCATGCTGTGTTTCTAATCTTCTTCTAAAAGCTACTCCCAAATTCAGGACTGCCCTGCTGGAGGTGGAACACGGATATGCTCGCGGTCCTACCGTGGTAATCAGGTTGTATACAGCTGTCTCCCCATCGTCTGTAACCATTGGGCCTTTACTTTTGGCCTTATCTGAACCTTGTGCATATATATATAAAGTCGAGTGAGTAGTTGTAGATAAAGGGTTGAACTGAGATGGAGAAAAGAATAAAACAGAAGTGCGGGAAAGCCGTGGTCAAGTCTGGCACCGATCCCAATCAGTATAGCCATATCTGTAAGTGATGAGGAAGAACTGTAATAACTTGCCTTCACCAATGTAGTACAATGAATTGATGATTGTTGCAGACAGTCAGTGCCTTGGCCATGAATTATTACTACAGATCCACTAGGGTACAGTCCAAGTCTTCACCCACCCCTATTTGAGAAGCTCTGTGTTAACATCAACTCCTGTCAAAATTGTCACTTTCTGTAAATGGCTCTTTGTTTGTATTGCGTGTCAAACACCCCGAGATGCCTGATAAATCAACATTAGCAAGCGAAAAGAGCCTGAAATCTATCAGTATCAAAGAATGTGATTTCATTCCATTCTCGAAGGCTAATAGGAGTCAGTAAAGAGTTTCCTTGACGCACGAGCAAATCGAACGCAACGCAGGAGGTTGCCAGGTTGTCACAGCAGTTAGAGTACCCTCGACGTTTTCTGTACATAAGGCAGCCATGATTTCTCATCTCTTTGTGAGTTCCCATTCTTTCTCATTGATATTTGGATCTTAGGGTCTCCTTGCCAACTCTTACTCTGTTCTGTTCTGTACTATAGACATATAAACAGCTCGCCGACCCGACTATCTACACCACAAGCCACGAGCATCGCACACATACGACAAGCTCTACTTAACTCGCAATGAAGGACAAAATATGCACCTGAGACGTAATTATCCCATCGATTATTTGGACACTGACACCTGCAAAGATATTTTTGTCGCTATACCCAAATGCATAATGCGACCAGACAGTTGCCTCCGAAGAAGAGGTATTTGAACACAAGATCAAAGATAATCCAGAAGATATATCCGAAATAAGAATGATCGATCTGTCAAAAGCCGATGGCGAACATTTACGAAGAACTTTTCGTTGCCGCTACTGGAAAACAGTGGACGACCAAACCAGATTTTGCACGAGTTCGACAACAGATCCGAGAGGTTGAAGATAGGCAGCGACCTGGTAGCGACTGTGTGGTTCCAGATAGCGACTCTCCAATTGTCGGCAACAAGATCATGGAAATTTGGCTTGATCGAACTAACACTCTGGTCAAACATCCCGGTGGCAGCAACGATGCTTCAACTATTAGCGAAGCCAGCTAATGGAAGAAGACTCCAAGGAAATTCAAGAGAAAATAGTTTAGTGTAAATACTCAACAAAAACAAAAGTCTTGACCGACTCATTGTTGATGACATCGCCAACAGGACCAAGGCTTCAGATACAACGCCCGAGTCACTCATCCTAGTGTGGTACTACATCCGTTCGGTCTACAACTACTTAGGAATTTTCTCACAGCCAAAAGTCACGATAGTCTACTTCCTGAAGATGAGAATTTTGTCGCTCAGACTCAACCTCCCTGCGATTCCGAAGGCAAAAAGGCGGTTTCCGCTGAGACTTAAGACCCTGCTCACTCAGATGTTCCCGCAAAGCAAACTAGCAGGTAGAAACCACCAGAGTCTTCATGACGTCCAGCAGGCAAGACTGATCTGCATGGTGTTGATAAACCTTTGCCGTTCCCCTGAGAAAAGAAGCATGATTTGGGACCCAAAGAAGTTAGAGGACCCCGAGAACCATCATGTTCTCGAATAGTATCAGCATATCAAATCGAGAGACAATTAGCGATGCAACTACGTAGTCAGAAACAGCAGAGCCAGGCACGTCCTCCAAGGGTTTCAATAATGGTTGCCAATATCAGCCCCTGGAAGATCTGAGAAAGAAGCAAAGGGTCGGCCCGGTCTTTGACTCAAAGTCTGCAGAGTCTGTGATATTCCAAACGAGAAAAGCTATCTCCAGATGAGGAAGTGCAATTAGAAATGTCTATGTGGTGGTTGGGTTTCTATAGCTGCCACCGGGTCTTACCAACTCTACATTGAACTCTCTTGATATGGCCATGGCGGGCGGAAAAAAGCATTTGCAACTCTGCAATCCAACTTCAAATGCCTAATTCTTGTGAGCTTCTTGCATCTCCACTATGGAATGACTGTTTCTTATGTGATTCTCCCAAGGAGATAGTGGTATTGTGAATGACAAAGAACCATTCACTCAAGATTGTGTTTTCCTTCTTCTGGATGCTTCTGATGGCAGTGAAATAACCTATTAGTCTTGCAGGTATTTTTTAAACAGCTAACCATTTATACTCATGTGATTCAAATTAATGATCCGTAAATGTGCGTGCCTCACCAGTTGATATAATTTCTCCTGAATGGAGTTCTTACCGACCTAAAAACCTCGATCTGGGACTATGCCATCTTGACAGACAGATATTCAATTTGACCTCCCTTATGATTACAGCGTAGTAAGGCCGCCACACAGCTGTCAGTGATTCTACCACATATTTCCTACAGTAAGCTGGACAGAAGCAGTAGCAAATGTATATGTAGCAGTGACAGCAGCTGCCAGCCGGAGCCACCTACCTACCTATCTACCTGCTGCTTCCATTCCCAAGCGAAAGTTTTGGGTACCCACTCGTTCGATGTGACAAGTCTTTCTCACGTTTAAGCCTGGCCAAGAAGCATGCGGAAGTTGACCATGAGGGGAAAGAGAAAGAAGAGTTCCCTTGCCCAGGAGCAGTGGAATACAAATGCGAAAAGAAATTCACACTCAAGTCTAATGCAACGAAACCTTATCGAAGTACCCACATTCGCCCGGAGTATGAGTGCGAACATTGCGACCTAAAGACCACCTCTATAGAGTACATGAGAAAGCACATAAAACGACACACCCACAAATTCGCTTGTCCACGTATCTCCTGCCAACGCCGATTCAAAACCAGTGATGAGGCGTTGCGTCACGCTGAAGACCCCTCGCATGCCCCAGGGCCCAAATACTATGCATGTCCTTCTCCCAACTGTCACATGACTGCGGTAGGGAGAGGTATGTCTAGGCCGGAGTTAAAGGAGCACTGGAAGGTCCATGTTAGAAGAGGGCACGTTTCATCAAAAGCAAAGCTTGAGTATAACCCTATGGAAGCAATAGTAGTCCGCAGGTTGTCCTTGTATGACCGAATTCACCAATACGCCGGAGAGTCTCTCTTGAACATGGACGATGAAGACACCAATATTTCGGGTATAGAGGAGCTGTATCTGGATGAAGATCTAGAGACCCAAGATTTGGATCTTACGAACGAAGCCGATCTCAAGTCTTTAGAGATCGACAACGAAAAGCTTTTCACGGAAGGCCATCGTTCCATTGTCATGTCGCAAAATGCAGAATATATTTGGCATGCATGTTTGGCCACGTTTCTGATCTCTACAAAGGGGACATGCGTTCTTGTGCTCTTGGTAGACATCACCACTCGGATATGTCTTATGGGGTTTAATAGGAATATCCTGCCTCACTGGATCAAGGACAGAAGGATACGAGCTTGTTAAAAAGTGATCAGGGAAATTTATGTATTGTATAGAGTATATGTAAGATCATTGCCAAACCCGGCACCCTAGAAAACTAGGCATATCAATTTGTCTGAAATAATGAAGAGCTGTCCCTAAGACGTAAACAATCAACAAAACTCCCCTGTAATACACTCTCCTGGTTCACGAAGTCTTTGATGTGCTGTGCTTCTCTTTTCTAAGTTAGAATTTGGCTCTATAGCTTCCCCAAGAGCGTAAAATGCAACTCCATTCGTGCAAATACTTATATTAGATAATTGGATACCTCTTGCGTAGTTCTGGGACAGCCAGGCACATATGTCTTGTCTGCTGGCAATCGGGTAATGCTTCATGGTTTGTACCAATGAGTTTGTGCCCTGGGTGAAAGATCGGGAAAATAACCTCCAAGCGCAAAGGAAACTGCTTGCCAGAACTGATTTTTGGATAAGTTTTGCCGGAAAGTCTGACATAGCGGAATACAATGCTCATCATCAGGCAAGATTCCACTATAGCCACCCGCCTCCAAATAGTTGCGGAATATATGCAGGTCAAACGGATTTGTGGCCCAAGCAATAAACAGGGTGTCTGAATTGGTGCCAATTTCTTTCAATCTTTGTGCAACTTGGTGAACATTGAGTCTGTCTAAATTCCGTTTGGGGTTGTAGATATTCTTGGCCTGCATTTTGCTTATTTGCGCAATTCTCCGGCTTTCAGACTCGTGTGAGAGTCCACTGGAATGGTGTAAGAGTGTATTAAGTCGAGTTTTTCCAGACAAATATTCGATGATTGCGACTTCCCATGGTTGACGCGTGGCCAGAGAAAATTCCGTGTCGACGATAAGCAGGCTGCAGGGAGGCATGTTCCCTTCTTCGATGTCTTTGATACGCTCTAGGATTCTCTGGAACTCTGGTGGGCAAGTCCACTCCTTTTCGGCGGCATCAGCAAAGAGATCTCGCAAGACCTTCAGATCGACATTCTCAAGAGAATTCTCCGATTTTGCTTGCCCTTGCTCTAAGAAGGCCCGGGCCCTCTTCATAGTGAAGCATGAGACGCACACGTGGTTCAAAGTAATCGTTCGCGTGCCATTCTCTGGTTGTCCTAGCCTCAGTCTGGCAGTGTCAAGGTCAATGACTACTCTGCCCGGACATGGCTCAAGAACAAAATCTCCGGTGGCAAGACCAGGACCGCAGCAGATACGTCCTCTACCGTGTAAATTGATGCGTTGGTCCTTATGGTTTTCTATCGACACCAATGGTTAGCGGTTTCCTTCTGCTGGAGTGCATAACATACCCCAATATTCGGCATTTTGCTCCAGGATGTAGGAACGATGCTTTTACTCTAGTTTGGACTTGGTTAACCATCGTCCTACCACAGTTACAGTACAGTTAGGAACTGGGCATGTGTATAACCTGCCGCCAAAGTCGTGGTCTGTCCCTGAACTATGCTCGATCGCCATCTCGCAAGTCTCGAAACGTCGGTTACAGTGTAGACGAGAACAAACAAACTTGTGAGTATGTTTCAACTCATGCAGTCTTCTGGCTTCGTTTGACCAAAAAGTCTCATTGCACGTCGGGCATATAGGCCCATAGCCGAGGTCGATATGCCGTTTCTGGTAATGGGCCTGCGCTTCGTGTTCGCTCTTGAACATGATTGAACAATCTTCAGCTCTGCAGGCATGGTACTCAACAGGCGGACTCTTATGATCTTTAGTATGCTTTTCCCAGCTTAGCAGGTCAGGAAAGCTTTCAAGACATCCCTCGACTTGGCCATCTCGAGAATCGGATTCTTTGTTACAGTAACTGAAAGGGCACTTCAATTTAACGCTTTTGGCCGGTTTCCCCGATGTCTGTGGTACGTTCGCCTTTCCCCGACGCCGCTTCGAAGGTTGTGGTTTGGGCGCGTCTTGCCAATTTGGATGTTTAGCCTTCATATGGCCACGCAGCCCATTGTCACTCTTGTACTCCTTTTCGCATTCCTTGACCGGGGGGTACCATTTCTTGCCCTTGTGGTCAGAAGCTATGTGGTTGTTGAGACCGCCTGGATTTGCAAAGGTCTTCGAACAATTCTCCCATGTGCACCGATATGCGGCAACGCGATGCTTATTTTGCACATGCTGTAGAAGCCCGTCCTTTGTATAACAATTGATTTTACACTTGCTGGAAATTGGGCATTGAATAGGCTCGGTCTCGTTTTGGTGGGCTAGCTCAAGGTGTTCTGTGGTTGCTTTTTGCGTAGAGAAAGTCTCCTGGCAACCAGATCTGCCAAAGTCCTTTCCATAGAGACAGATGTACCGGCCATTTTCGTTCAAGAGAATAGGCCGAGCATTATGGTCTAGGATCAAATGTATTGCCGCCTCCTCATGGGACTGAAATGTTTTTTGACATAGGCGTGTGATGTGACTTGCATATGGACACTTGATGGGCTACGCAACAGTCAGTGGTCAGTAGATAATTTCGCCAATCTGAACAAGATCACATACTGCAGTGTCCATATTGTTTCCCAAGGGCACCGTAAATGATCTGGAAGTCCGCTGCTGAATATGTTGGTGATTCTGGTAAGGTGTTGAGGATTATTGTGATAACACGACAAGAGAGTCTGAATTGATAGAAGAAGAAGAGGGTAGAGGAAAGAATGGAAGAAAAGTAACAAGTAGAATTTGACAGCTGCTCTGGAGTGTGCGAGAGTGTGAAGGGCATGTGATTCATAGTGAATGGGAGGCACTGGCGAGCAGTGACAGCAAAATCAGTGACACCAGTGGCAGCAGTGACAGCCTTCTTGTGGCTACAGCTTCATTACGTACTTCGAACATATCGCTGCATGCTTAATAAATCGCGAATGGTACAATTTGGGAATCTTAACCTAAGTTCAGAGTTCTCTATGTTTATCTCTTGGGCTCCTAAAGGGGGTTTCTATTGTCAAGTATACACTCGAAACATGAGAACTAAAAGGGAACTTTGTTTGTTATTATCTATATGTGATAGTGCAGTATCATGGGATAACTTACAAAGTGATCGATTTCAACGAATCTGTTGGTTTGGCAAATAGAAATACCTAGCGTTAAGTTAAACAGCCTCAACCGGATAACCCCAGTGGGATGGAACATAACAATTATATCCTCAGGTAAAGAGGCATTCCCTCGGAATCGCATTGTTCCTTGTTAAAGCCATGATGGTTGTTCTATCGTCATAGGGGGCATGTCCTAACTGTCACTGGTCACTATGTGTTGTCAAAGAAGGTATCATGGCTTTCCCTTAACTTGATGGTTTAGCGGTTGAATTGTCTGGTTCATCATTTATATATTGCTCAATCTTCTGGCTGGCCCCTCAATTTGAGCTGCCGTCCCCATTGCCACGGCACAGCTAGCCACCACCACTCTCCAACTCTCAGTCCGAGGCCATCCTCATCCTCTTCAAGCACGCCTGTTTTTATGCCCCAATCCATGATAAGCTCGGCTTCAAACTCCTCGAGGATCGGCTTGAGTGCGTTGCACACCCCCTCGATAGTTAGGTGTCCTCTGTTGGCATAAACGAAACAGAAAGCTCCCAAGACATCCATCCAGCGCTCCGCATCTCGGCGCCCGAAGAAGTCGACCCATTGTGGAAGCAAGTGCTTTGCAGTGGGTGGTCCTTCATTGATGCTCTTGCGGATGACACCCACGTCCTCGTCGTATTTATAGGAGTCCGTGGGGGTTGCTTCGATGTTCCAGAAGTAGCAGTCTTTCTTCAGCTTGCGCATCTCATAATAACCCGGACGGAAACCCAGTGGGATATGAGGCACGTTGACTGGAGTGAGCTTGATCCTCTCACTCGCGTTCAAATTGGTGAGAGCCATCACAGCTCCGTCTTGTAAGTTGAAAGGAATCCGGAAAGCTTCACCGCGCCGGAAGGTCGCATCCAGCTTTGACTTGAAGTCAGCTGCATCTTGGTACTTAGTTCGTTGAGCAAGTTTTCCAAGTACGTGACCGAATGCTTCATTCAGTCTGAATGGTCTCCCTGAGAGAGGGGGTCGCTTGCTCTTGCAAATAATGCGCTGTGCCGTCAAGACATCAATGGCTTCCTTCAGTATGACATTGATTTGGTCTTGGTCACCGTTCGCGAGTGTTCCAAACTTTTGTTGTATCTGGTCAACTGTGTAGCGACTCTCATCTGTGCAGCAGAGAGATCTCACCCAAGACCTCGCAATTACCTCATTCGTAATCTTGACTTTCTGATTAAGTCCACTGAGCATCTTGTCAACAGTGACAAATGCCGGGAAAGTAACAGCCTCGAAACGGGCATAGACGGACGACTGAGGGTTATAGAATTTCTCCCGTGGGTCTTCTTCTTCGTGAGTAGCGGCTGCAGACGTGGAAAAATTGTCTTCGAAGTAATGCCTGGTCGATGGTAGGTCAACACCCTTTCTGCGAGGCAGTTCAAGCGTCCAATCAATCAAGCTGTCCCAGTCATAATCCATAGGATCCTCAAAGTCGAATTCCGGGAGCTCGTTCTTAGAGTAGGCAACTATGAAACGATCTTGGAAATCCTTGGTTAGCTTCCTGACATAGGCACCCTGTTCTCTCCGGGCATCGATCCAGAACCGGCGGATATCTTTGAGGGCCAGATTCGGGAAAAGCTTAAGGAGTAATCCCCAATCAACAGACTTGTCGGCACCACCAAGGAGAACACGAACGGCGATCAAAGCAGCCAGAAGACGTTCTGAGTCACTCTCAACGGAGCTTGGGCCCTGCTGGTCACGTTGGCCCTGCTGTCTCTGCTCGGCTTCTTCGGGAATGGGCATAAGAGCTCGTGTCACCAGGCGCACTCGTTTGACTCTTGGTTGTTGTGCTAGTTGCTGGCGACTGATGGATGCTCGCGCTCGACTAACTGAGCCTCTGCCAACACCTCGGCCCCTCGATTGGCGACCCGCGCCTCGAACAAGCTTTTGTTGCCTATATGCCGGGAACTCTGGCCATTCAGTGCTGTCATCCTCCTCATCAGATGAAGCGTCCACTAGAAGAGCACGGTCTGGAACATCTCCTGGGAAAGACTTCGGGGTGAGCTGCCATTCCAGGGGCCAAGAAAATTCAGGGGCTGGAGTCTCAAGCACTTGATTGTCTCTTTCGCTCGAGAATGAGATGAAGATGTTGTGAGGGCCTGCTGCTCCGGGTGGTGCGTTGATGAATGATTCGGACCACGCTCGCTCCAAGTCCATGCAGCAGTACAGCCTCTCAATAAAGCACCGGTAGGGGTCAAGAACATCTTGGCGCTGGAGCTTATCGCGGTTGAGTGAATGTGCTTTCCTGTCTATCATGTCTATCATGGACGACCAGGCAAACCAGTTCGGGTCAGGCATCCATCCCGTCAACGTGTAGCTAGCGTCTTGCATCTCGAAATCTTGTGGTGTAATTAGTGGCCAGACACCATCGTAACCGGAAACAATGATCGGCTTGTCAAAAACAATCTCTCCTGAGAAATGGCTAGAAAGCCGTTGCTCCAAAATAGTCCTGAAGTCATCGGTAAAATAGTGCTCTGATCCTTCGATGCCATCTTCTTCCAAGCATGTGTTGGGGTCCAGAAACTGGAGGGCTTCAGGAGCACCTTGAGAGGACTCAAAGTGTTCATAGCACATTGGCTCTCCCATGTCGCCTTGCCACGCCCTGGATCTTGAAGGGCGTCCATCTGCAAACATACTCTTGCGTTTTCGACCACGCTTTGCAGGAGGCGGGAAGTCATCTCCATCGTCATCATACTCATCCAAAGCCCGCTTCTGAGCAGCTCGTGCCACGTATACCGGTGCATCTAACATCTCGACTTCATCAGGGAGATCTCGTCTACCCCGCTTCAAGAGATCGCTATCAAGTTGAGCATCGAATGGAGGGGGAAGATACAGATCTGGGTGTGCTTCTTGAATCTTCTGAGCCACATCGGAAGCTTCAGGAGAAAAAGGATCGACCCCAGCCGCGACAACCAAATGGCATTTCTCAGTCACACCTTTCTTACTGCGAAATGTGAGCCAATGTTCGGCCGCAATCTTATGCTTCAATAGTTCTCGAAATGCAGCCTGGTACGAGCGGATTTGTGGCACTACCTCAGGAAAGGCTTCGACCCATCGGATACTGATGGCCGTCCACAAAGATTTGCCTCCTGGGAAAACCCCTTGGTGCTCTGCCAAGATATTTTGAATGATCTGGGATATACGATTGTTAATGACGACCTTGGTAATGGGGATATCGGTGACCATAGGCGTCTTCGGCTTCACAACAGAACCAGGTCCGCTAGGTATCTCATTGGTGGAGTGTTGTATGGGTTGAGATTGTTCGGGCTGGGGGGTTGCGTCCGGCTGAGATCCGTTTCTTTGGGGTTTAGACCGAGGCGTCTTGGGAGATGCTCCAACTAGGCTGAACCGATCCAATGAACTGAGAACCGGGCGCAATTGGCTGTTCTCGCCTTGCACAAGGGCACCATTAGTTCCGTTAATAAGTGAAGGCTGCTTAGGAGAATCGAATATAGCAACTGGAGGTCGTTGCAATTCCGGGTTGACTTGAAATGCCTCTCCTTTAAAGCTTAGGGTTGGCCGTGAAGACCAAGTTGGACGGGCTGCAATTGGGCCCCGTGTTCTCGATACTGGCTTCGGCGTTGGTACATCCTCATAATCTGGACTTGGTTCTTTGCCTTCGCCACGAGTTTTTCCATCTTTTTCGCCTTCATCGTTGTCAATCTCCCTTCCAGTTTTCTCATCATTATCATGGTCTTTGTCTTTATCCTTGTCTTTATCTTGGGGCTCTTCTCTCCCTTCGTCGTCCACGGCTCGTCGGTCTTGCTCTTGTGGTTCGTCAACAGCAGGCATCGTAGTGTCTTGGTCGTCAACTTCCATGACCGATTCTTTCCTTCCACGTCGAGTTGGTGTCACTGTAGACTCATCAAATGATGGGTTACAACTCGTCCTTGACTTGGTTACATGGTAAAGCAAGCCGTTATCGTTTTTCCATGCTCTGCCGCATTTTTCGCAAACCCAAGGTCGTGGAGAGTTATCATTTTCGGTGTTTTGTTCCGCGTTTCCTTTTGGCCTATCCTCGCCCTTTTTCGGTCGGCCGCGTTTCCTCCCAGTGAGTAGGCTCTCGGTAGCGTTATTGAGTTCCGGTTCATCATCAATGTCCATTTGGTTACTAGTTCCTTCGTTTTCGGCATCAGTATTGATGGCCCTGGTCTGGACTTTCCTGGCGGAAGATCTTGTTGACCTGGTTGGTGTCGGCCGTGCAGGGGTTGCCATATCTGTCTGTGCCTTTGCTAGAAGTTCTTTGAGGGCTGCCGGAGATACTTTGAGAGTCACCACAAGGGTAGCAGCCTTTTGAGGTTCAGATACAGCGTCATCCCGCTGGGCTTCATTAATTTCAGGTGGCGCGAGTGATTCAGGTACTGGTGTCTCTGGAGGTAATTTGGGTTCTTGGACAATTGTTTCTGGAATCTGTGGGGTCACTACTTCCTCAGTGGCTTCGTCCTCTTGCACAAACTCCTCTTGTGGTGGGATTTCTGGTGCTGGAGCACGTCGTTTTCGGCCTCCTTTTGCTTTTGGGGTTGGTGCAGGCTTCCCCTTCCTAGCTTTGGAGGTCTTAGGGCGGCCTACTGTCTTTCTGTTGGTCATTCCCATGCTGCAAAGCTCAGCCAATGTTGTCGAGTTTTCATGAGATATCGATGATGATGGTAGCGAGGGGAAACCATAGATATCCGCCGGAGTCGGTGTTGATTCTTGGCCAGTGGCATCAGTCGATGGTGGTGAAGGCGTGTGGGGAGCATTTGGTGCAAAGTAACGATAAGACGCGACCTTTCCAGATCTCGTGTGTTCGCTGTAAATCTGAAAATGGGCTAGGTGAAGTGGTTGTAAGCCAGGAACCGCCAATGCCGTGGTCATCGAGGAGAGATGCCGACTGTATGAGGGGCCTAAAGTCAAGGCATAAACATCAGGGTTTGTGAGTCCAACGTCTCCTAACCGTTTTGCCATCTCAGCGATTATAACAGGAATGGGCTTGTCCAAAGACCATGGTGGTGATTTGGATACTTCGGAAACGTTAGAGGCTTGTCCTATGAGTTGCTTGTTCCCATCATAGCCATCCAGATCTGGGTTCCTTGGGGTCTTGCTCTTTCTCTTGCCTGTTGAAAGATACAGAGACCAATCTTCTGCGTTGAGATCTCGAACGTATTTGACACAGTCCTTGAATACCTTTTCTCCCAGCTTCGCTGCTACATACTGTATAACGCCTCGCTGGTTGAGAAAGCGACACACTTTAGCCAAGACCTTCATCTGCCAGCGCATTCCCAAAACGCCGAGCTTTGATTTCATGTCTTTCATTTGGAGAACTCCCCACTCCTTGACGATGGCCATGATAGTCGTGGCCAATGCTATGTAGTCGATTGATTCGCCAGTCCACCGTACACGCCAAGGGACTGGTTCGAGATCTTCGACCAGTACTTGCCGAGTTAATGTCATGTCTGGTCGGGCTTCATCTACACCCTCGCCGTCTTTTGGCAAAGGGGGGGCGAATAGCTTCAGCCACATCTTACTCGTCTTGGTGCCGCGTACGAGTGTTGTTCGCTTGACAATGTATCCCTTCTTAAGGAGACTATCAGTTCTTTTTGGTACACTGCGCTTGTCTTGATCCGTTAGACGCCCCAGATCTCCCTGAAGAATACCTTGGGTAGTAGTCGAGGCTATGCCCAAGAGTAGCATCCATTCAGATTTGGGGACTCGCTTGTAGTCAACTGCATGGCCGGTAAGAGACTCCCACATGGTATCCTCGGAGGCGTAGACCCGAACATGGTGGGGTTCTGTAGGTTCTGCATTTTGTCCAGGGGTGCCACCAGCAGTTGAAAGCGCCAGTACTTGGTCTAAAGTTAGGTGATTGTACTCGCGATCAGCACCGACAGAAATATCCCGTCTCGCAGTGAGCCAGCTCCAAATGGTCGCGGCAGTGCGGGCTTGTACAGCGGAATCACCCTCAGATAATGATTCTGTTTGGGTTGAGGGATGGTGAATGCCTTTCAAAACACCATCCACAGAACAGCCTAGAGTGAAGCAGTTAGTGATTGGTTCTTAGTAGTAGCAGGAAATAAAGTAGTCAATCCATAAACTTGCCTTCTTCGCCATGGCATGAGATATGAACCAAAAGGCCCGCGATCAAGCCTTCGAGCTCCGATGCCATTTTATTCCATGTATCCTGTAGTTCATTCTCAAGCCGATGCGACGCGTAAAAAAAAACTTGACGAAATTGGTCTGGGGCGAATTGAACTGATGAGCCCCAGCGGAAGGATATTGTTGCTGCACGAAAGAATGATGAAGTGGGGATGGCGGGACCTGAAAAGGTGGAGGACTAGAGGAGCCGCATGAGCTAAGAAAAAGAAATGATGACATAAGCATCCACATCCCGTCAAATTCACAAGCCGCGCAGTTGCACAGGTGTAGACCTACCTAGAATATAGGCAAGTCTTGAGCTTCTGGCTTTTCCCCAGATTACTAGATCAGGTAGAGAATGGTTTAGAAGGTTTACCTGCACAAGAATTACTGAATTGTCAATCGGTTGCACGTATGCAAAGTATTACCATGCACAGAGTATGATCGCAACAGCATTAGATGTCTGCTGAGATGGAAGCTCTGCTAGCCATAGCTGGTATTGTGCAGATACCTTATTAATTGCACTATAATTTATATTTACCTGAATTGCCTCAACCTGATATCATGGATTATTAATTGCCATAACAGAACATTTCCCAAGATCATAATGTTCCTTGTACCTCATACATGTAGACAGGTCCACTGAACCCCAAATTTGAGGTTCGATGTAGGAGTTTTTTTTTCTGCCCAACCATGAACCTACCAAAACCTCACCTTGATATTCTCACATAACGAATGAGCCAACAACGACGCAAGAAGCCGTATCTAAAGCTCAAGAAACAAAGATGTCAAGAAACAATTCATTGTCTACAGATGAAGCCATCGAGAATCTCATTTCCACTTTCAACGAGCTCAACAGCAATAGTATCGATGAACTCCACAACGAACCAAGCCCCCTAGAATTCATGCGATATGTTGCTCGCAATACACCATTCGTGATAAGGGGCGGGGCTTCGTCATGGAAAGCCTGTCAGGATTGGAATTCTGCGTATCTACTATCTGTGATGAAGGGGCAGAATGTGAATGTTGCTGTCACGCCATATGGGTTTGTTCTCTAGGTTGGATATCTGTAATAAGAGAGTTGTTCGCTAACCTTGACAGCAATGCTGATATGCCCACTGTGCCTCCTGGCGAAGAATCACTGGTCTTTGCGAAGCCTCACTATGAGGATCAGCCCTTTGAAGAGCTACTTGAGTATGTAGCACGACAAGGTACAGATCCTGACTTTCCTCCTGATGCCGAAGTGCGCTATGCCCAGACTCGTGAGACACCTTATCTTTCCGCATAAAATTTAACTGAGCATAAGTGTAGAAAATGACAACCTTCGTGAAGAGTACATCACCCTCTTCTCAGATGTGCAGAAGGATATTCCTTTCGCAAGAATAGCACTTGACAAGAGCCCCGATGCTGTAAACCTATGGATCGGTAACTCCAAATCTGTCACAGCTATGCACAAAGACAATTACGAAAACATCTACGTACAGATCCTGGGAAGAAAGCACTTTGTCCTATTGCCTTCTCTATGCCACCCCTGCGTCAACGAGCAGCCTCTCAGGCCCGCAACGTACACGCGCGGAGAAAATGGCATGGAGCTAAAGATGGATCCTAATGATGAGGCTGTTCCTTTCGCAATTTGGGATCCGGATAAGCCTGAGCGAAATGCTACAAAATTCTCCCATCTTGCCCGACCTTTACGAGTAACGTTGGATCCCGAAGATATGCTTTACCTTCCTGCTATGTGGTTGGTCATTTTACAAGCTCTGCTTTTCATTGAATATTCTGACATTGGCTAGGTATCACAAAGTGCTCCAATCAAGCGTCGAAGAAGACGAAGGGTTCGTCCTCGCCGTCAACTACTGGTACCAAACCACATGCTTTTTTATTACCCCTGCAATGCTAACCAGATTCCCTAACTAGGTACGACCTGGACTTTACAGGGCCGCTTTATCCTACATCGACTTTTGTTCGTGATATAACCCTGGGAAATAGAAAGTAGTCTAGCAAACCGCCCCACACAGCATAAAACCAAAACACCAGGTCTATATCCACACCTCAACCCCTTGCCACTCATGATTATTTCTTCCTCTTGGAAATCCTCTTCTGCGCTCGCAATTCCTTCTTCATGCGCGGATCAACGATACGATATCTACCCTTAATTCCCTTAGGACGGCCCTTGATGCCCCGGTTGAGACCGCGGGCGACAACGAGCTTGGCCTGTTGCTTCTTGGGCTTCTTTGCTGCTTTCGAGATAAGGCGTGAGATGCTATCAGCCTTCTCCTTCTCTGTCATGTTTTCGTCGTTGTTGAGCAACTCTGACTTCTTCTTGAGCTTCTCCAGCCTTTGTGCAGCCTTGAACTTCTTGCGAGCCTTGGCCTCGCGCACCTTCTTGATGGGGCGAGCATTGAAAGCTCGCATCTTCTCCTTGATCGCCTGCGCAGCAGCCTTGCTGATGGGTTTCTGGAGCTTGTCATGCCGTGATTCATCCTCGACAAACCAATCTGGTAGACCATCGCGGTCGCGGAAGGCGTACTTGTTGAAGCCGTCATCAATAGCATCATGTGTTGTCTTCTGGCCTGTCGCAAGGGCATGGGCGAGTGTCATAGCCTCAGCCGTGATGATATCAATATCTGTGTCACTGTTAGTACTGCGTGCTATTGTTTGACTAGTCTTGCACTTACCGGGTCTTCCATCGGCTCTTCGGGTGTCCTTGTCCCAATCGTCATCCTCATTTCGCTTTACAACCTCAAAACCATCCTCGTTGTCGTCCATCTCGGAATCAGAGTCAGCTTTGGTCGCTTCGGTCTTAGTAGGCTTAGCAGAAGCCTCAGCTTTGCGATTCTTCGCTTGTTGGGCCATGATAGCTGCTGCATCTCGGTTGACTTCTTCATCCGCACTGTCCTCAGCAGCATCTTCCTGCTCAGGTAGGATTCCGCTTATGCCCGAGAAGATGTCTTGGTTGAAAAAGGCCGTTGCTCGCTTCGATAAGCCGTTTGCTCCCTTTGAAGAATCCAGATCGCGGATGAGTCCCTCTGTAGGAGCTTCGTCTTCTTCGTCGGAAGAGGAATCGTCCTCCTCAAGCTCCGAAGAGTCATCTTTCTCATCCGCTTCCTCGCCAGACAGGCCATCCCACTCATCATCACCAAAATTCTTACGGGCCTTTTTCGCTCGGTACTTCGCGTCAACCTCAGCCTTGCGCTCCTTATACTGGTCGTACATGGACTCGAGCTCTCGTTCCAGGCGATCCTCTTCGGGGTCACTCTCATCGTCCGTCTCTCCTGAAGAGCCAAAGCCACTGTCGGCCTCCTTCTGGGTCGCTTGGGTGGGAACAATCATCTTGCCACGATTCAATCTTCGCATGGCGTCTGTCTTGTCGACTTTCTTGAGTGAAAACATGGCTCCCTCACCAATGGGGCCAGATTCCTCTAGGCCTATGTCCATGGGTGCGGTCATGTTGAGTTGCATACGCACAATCTCCCGTTGCTTTCGCTCATTCTCCTTTCGCTTCTCTCGTTTCCGTTTAGAGTTTTCTCGGTCTTTCATGTTTTGTAGTTCTTCCTGAATCTTGAGCTCTTCATCCATTGACTCAACCTCGGCCACCTCCTCAGGGTCCTCGGCTGCCATCGTCTCCTTGGTTTCCTTGGTCCTCAATCCGAAAATGGAACGAACGCGTAGACGCCATTTGAGGAGAAGCTTGAAGTCTTTGCGTCCCAGTACTCGCAGATCAGAACAGCAATTTCGGATTTCGTCTGTTGTCTCGGGAAGTTTATCCAGCGCAGCCAAAGCAACATCCCCATTGAGTGGTTGCTGCAAAGTGAGCTTATTGTACGAGCCTAGGACTGCAATTGGATCTTCTGTTTGGATAAATTCCGAGGCCGGCATCTCCTTGAACTGTGTATAGTCGCCCTCCTCGTAACCATCTCTCTTGCGCTTCTTAACCTCGGGGTTATAAACTTTGGCCTCGTTGTTTGCGTTCGGGCCGGATAGCTCTGCAAAAACATAGTGAGGATCGAGGAGCCTTTTGTCCAGTCGTTTAGGCGCTTTATACCCACGACACACGACGCTACGCTAGTTAGCAAGACGAACATAACAGGCGATGAGGAATTACGCGCAATATCTCGGCAGAAACTGCTCTTGAAGATTTTGGTTTTGTTGCTTCTACCTTAGTGAAGAGTTGCTGGAAAACCCAGAGTAATGGATTATACCTTGGCGATAGTCAGTATCAAAAGTGGTGAAAGACTCTCAAGGGACGATTACTCTTTACTTCGAAACACCTTCGTTACGAAGGTTCCACCAACAAGTAAAAATTCCGTAGCTAGTGCCAACGACTTTAAAACAAGCTAAAGAGTCCCAGTTAGTTGATATCTGGAGGAGGGTTGCTGATTCCGTGCACAAACCTCTGCTTGGTTGAACGAGTCTTGGACCCAGGCTGTTCCAACGTTGGGAGCACCATCGTGTAGCACAGTATCTGCTTTCCATGTCTTCAAGTGTTGTCGGATGGCCTGTCGGGTGGTCTCTGACGTGATGTCGCCCTGTAGGCCTATAGTTCCTCGAATTGGTTTGATAGGATCAAGATCGACACCAATAATAATTTTCCCGCTGCCCATCGTCTCGCTGGCGACCTGCATCCAAGACCCCGGTGCTGCGCAAAGATCCAGGACGACCTTGCTCTGCTCGAGGAAGCCATACTTCTTGTTGAGCTCTATAAGCTTGAAGGCAGCCCGAGCTCTGTATCCTTTCTCCTTCGCAAGCCGGTACCATTTGTCGAGACGCCCTTTTCCATGCTAGTTCCATTGTTAGCCTGCTCACTGAAGAGAAGAATCATCTACTTACCTTTTTTTGGATAGCCATCGTGGTGACTCGGGGACGAGTAAAGTTGTCGCTGTTTGCGAAGGCTCTACGCCCTGAACTCCCGGATGCCTGTATGGACGGGGTCGTGGTATCAATAAAGCGGTATTGAGGCTGTGATGCTGAGGATGTTGTAGAGAAGGACGACACACGATCTTCCTCAAGATTCAAAAAGTTTGGCCCCACCAGAAATTTTGCGACCGATAAGCCGATCACGTGCAGATAAGCCTAGAGAGTCCGGTCCTTTGTTTCTGTCACTGAAATGGAGGGGACTATGTTAGTATTGACATTGGTTTTTTGGGCGATTGATGAGTCAACTTCCCAGTCATAGTAGTAGTACTCTACCTGTGATTAAAACAACAAAGATGATGTTTTTGAGAGCTTTCCTTGATCTATTGCTGAAATGTTTGATAACTCAGTGTCGATAAGCCACTATCAGAAACAGTGGGGTTGATTACCTAACTCCCGCATTAGCTTCTGATTCTCGAAATGGCAGCACGAGTGATATCAGAAGTTATCGGGAGAACAGACCACATTAAAAAGCGGCTCAACTCACTCAATCTTGAATGCTCCTCGCCTGCCTCGGTCATTGTCACCAACAACTCGGGCGCGTCGTCGGCCCTCACCATCAAGACTCTGATCTTGAAATATTGCAAAACGGCCAGCGACAATCATGAGCGGACGAGTCCTTGCTGCAGGGCTACGGCCTCTCCCACGCCGCGCTGCGGTTCTTCCCGTTAGACACCTGCATCGCCAATCTACTGGCGGACTTCTTCAAGCCGATGCTGCGATACGAGCCACCCGAAAGCGAATGTGGCAAGGGGGAAATGCATTTCACAATGCTGTTACTACGAGAAATGCCTCCTTCGCGAGGTTTTTGCCTAAGCTGATGGTCAAGTTTCTAAGGGTACCGGCAATGTTTGGCGGTGTGGCCATAGGTGCTTTTGCTTGGGTACAATACCAAGCTGCCCGTACGTCAAAACTCGGATGTCAAAGTTGCCAACGGTTTCACTAATTTAACGCAGAGGCCGGTACATTCGCCGTGAATTTATTCAACACAACAACAAATACCATTTCGAGTACGGCTTCGAGCTTATTCGGAGGTGCCAAGGATATCGCCGACCAGGTCAACCGAGGATGGGAAAGTACAAAAGAAAAGGCAGAATTACCCGACTGGGCCAAACAACTTCTTCGAATCCAGGAGGACATTGGTACCGGCGGTTCGGGAGGTTCGGGCGGCGGTGGTGAGCCAAAGCAGAGCAAATTCGGTGCCGCAGCTGCTGTTGGTGCCTCAGCGGCCGCCTACGGATACGACAAGTCGGATGAAGAGGACCCTCGAAACGGCGAACAGGCGGCTAAGGATGACCAAATGATGGTTCTGACCAAGAAAATGATTGAGATCCGAAGCATTCTTCAGAGGGTCGGACAGTCGAGCACTCTCACACTCCCCTCCATTGTCGTTATTGGTTCTCAGTCCTCAGGAAAGAGCTCTGTCTTGGAGGCTATCGTCGGTCACGAGTTTCTGCCCAAGGGCTCCAACATGGTGACAAGGAGACCCATTGAACTGACGCTCGTCAACACGCCCTCATCCAGGGAAGAATATGGTGAATTCCCTGATCTCGGATTGAGACATATTACCGACTTCGGATCAATTCAGCGCACTTTGACCGAGCTTAACCTTGCTGTTCCTGATAGCCAGTGTGTCTCCGACGACCCGATTCATCTTACAGTTTATTCCCCCAACGTTCCCGACCTGTCACTTATCGATCTTCCCGGCTATATCCAAGTTGTGGGACAAAACCAACCTCTGGAACTGAAGCAGAAGATTTCCGAACTCTGCGACAAGTACATTCAGCCTCCCAATGTCATCCTCGCCATTTCAGCTGCCGATGTGGATCTTGCAAATTCCACTGCTCTTCGAGCATCCCGTCGAGTTGATCCCCGAGGCGAGCGAACTATCGGTGTTATTACCAAGATGGACTTGGTTGACCCTGTCCGCGGAGCAAGCATTTTGAATGACCAGCAATACCCTCTGAGATTGGGTTACGTGGGTGTTGTTCCTAAGGCTCCTCAGAACCAGGGTCTCTTTAAGATGGGCAACACTAACCTGCTCTCACAAATTGTCAAGCACGAGAATGCTTTCTTCTCATCTCATCCCATGGAGTTCGGTCCCGAAGCTGGTGTTAATGTTGGAACCACCACATTGCGTAAGAAGCTCATGCACGTTTTGGAACAGACCATGTCTAGCAGCCTGCAAAGCACCAGTGATGCTATTCGACAAGAACTCGAGGAAGCCACTTACGAGTTCAAGGTCCAGTACAACGACCGACCTCTCTCAGCAGAGTCTTACCTTGCGGAGAGCCTTGACGCTTTCAAGCACTCTTTCAAGCAATTCGCAGAGGAGTTCGGCCGCCCTCAAATGCATGAGCTCCTAAAGCATGAGCTCGACCAGAAGGTCCTTGACTTGTTAGCAGCCAGATATTGGAACAAGCCCATCGATGACCTTTCACCGATCAACCCCGACCTCGACAACCTTGCCGATCTCCCCAAGGCTCCTGCTGACTCCCTTTACTGGCACCGACAGTTGGATGCTTCCACATCCGCGCTTACGAAGCTTGGTGTGGGACGTTTAGCCACAACAGCAGTTGCGTCTTCCATCCAGGCCCACATCGACTCCCTAATCAGCAACTCCAGCTTCGCTAGCCACCCCTTCGCCCGACAGGCCATCATGGAGGCTGCCTCTACCATTTTGAACGAGAGATTTTACAGCACCAGCGACCAAGTGGAAAACTGCATCAAGCCTTACAAGTTCGAGATTGAGCTTGAGGACCGAGAGTGGACCAAGGGTCGCGATCACGTTGGAGGCGTACTCAAGAAGGAGCTCCAGGACTGCGAAAAGGCCATGAAGGACTTGGAAGACAGCGTCGGCGGACGACGAAAAATCAAGGAAGTCATGGCATTTGTCGATAAGGCCCGCAAGGGTGAGGTCGCTGTCGAGGGTGACAACCGTAGTGGCGCTGGTGGTTTCAGCGCCGCTCTTCTGAGCAAGGGTAAGTTGACCACAAGAACCTCAACAATTCAGATACTAATCCTTCGATAGGACGTGAGGCTGTTTTCTTGCGCGACAGAGCTGATATTATCAAGATGCGCCTGCTTGCAGTCAAGGCAAAGCAGTGTGCTGACCCCAAGAACAAATACTACTGCCCCGAGGTATTCCTCGATGCTGCTGCCACCAAGTTGGCATCCACTGCCGTCCTTTTCCTCAACGTTGAGCTCCTTTCCGAGTTCTACTATAACTTCCCCCGAGAGCTTGATCTTCGTCTAGGACGCCACCTGTCCGAGGAACAAATCGAGAAGTTCGCCAAGGAGGATCCCAAGATCCGCCGACACTTGGAGGTCATCCGCCGCAAGGAACTGCTTGAGTTAGTCCTCGAGAAGATGGAGAGTCTACGACAACTTGAGGGCCGCGATCGCGAGAAGTCAAACTCCAACTCGCGACGGGACCGCAAACAGAGCCGATGGGGTCTGTTCTAAACGGGCTACCCCTTTTAAAATGAGAAATGAGGTCATACTCGGAGTAAGGAGTTGAATGCTTGGTTGTTGATTTTAGAATATCACCGCAATCAGAAAGACAAGACAAAATTGCCTGAGAAACGCGGTTGTTGGGGTATGCTTAAGTGGGACTTACTGGTCTCTTTAAATGTATCTTGTCAACATATATATGTATGCAAAACCGATTGATGGTGGGCGGATGAGGGCACGTTGTATGAGGATGTGGATAGAAGTGCTTGATTGCACGCAAGGATACCCTCCTCAATAACATTGAATAGTACAATCTACTCAAATAACGATAACTAACACGGACGCTATATTTATGTTCTCTAGCTATATGTGACCGTTTGTAAATCATCATGTACAGATTTTATCATTATTATCCCAACAGAAAACTCATGCTCTTATGTACTACCTTCAGTGGTCATTTGTAATGTCACCTCCCATCGGATACTGCCTCCATGGCCGTACCCCTCGCCCAGTCTGTTCTGGATCAAGGCCGAAATGCGCTGCCGTAGCTTGCTAAGCGACATTTCATCGTAGCCCTTGACAACACTCAATTTGAGGTTGGCCATGCAGAGACCATAGTGAACTTGCCAGAACTGGGCATCATCAATAGTCACCACGCTAGGTTCGGTCTCGATCTCTCTCAGAACGGCACTGACGCCGTTGTTGCCTCCAGTACCACCATAAGACATCAGTAGCATAAGACCCTGAGCTACGGCGAGTCTCATTCCCAAAGCAAACATGGCAAAGGCGATGACGACACAGATGAGACGGTCAAGCCATGTGTAGAGTGAGATAGAGAGAAGAGGAAGAAGAGCGATGACAGCGGAGAAAGACAGAGTGAGGAAGTGGAAAGGGTTTGAGAGTACGCTTGGGAGAGAAGCAAGGTACGAGACGCGCATGAGTTTAGCAATGCGGGCATGGTTTCGAAGACCATATGCCGATACAAGCGTGCTCACCATGGCAGCAGCAGACACGAGGTCGACAGAGCCATCTGGGCCTTCATGACCATGTTCATGATGAGCCTCGTGGCTACCAAGAGACTCAAGGAAGTGCTTGAGAGTGTGAGAGATCAAGTCAAAGCCTCCAAAAAGGAGGAAAACAGACATGGCGAAACCAGCAAGGACCTCTGCTCTCTCGAGGCCGAAAGGGTGACGAATACTGCTACGTCGCCAAACTTCAAAGTTGCCGAGGACATCAACCATGACACAAACAGCAGCACTGCCAGCGTCAAAGAAAACGAGATGCGAAAGTGCAGTTGTAGCAAGAGACCCCTCTGAACGGAAGAAAACATATGTAGCCACGGCAAGATGGCACATGCTCCAATAACAATGAATGCGTTGGTCTTTTGTCATGCTTTTCCATGCTTCGCGAACAGTCGGTATCGGGAGAGAAGCGGGGAGAACGGGAGGTGGCCTCTGAGGCGGCTCTTTGAAAATTTGATGTTGTGAGGAGATACTACTGTGCTTGTATCTGTGTCCGCGACGTTGTCCAATGTTCTTTAAGACGTTAGCATGTGCCAAAGTTACGAGATGTACATGATCAACGTACCGACTTGACAGGGCCTGTAGATATAACTTGCGTCTGGAAATTGAAAGGATTCTTGAATCCAGGGGACGCAGCAGAGTCCCCTTTTTCATCTTCACCACCCATTGTTGGAACCGATAGCGAAGACGAAGACGCAGCCGCCGGAGAGGGAATGAGGAGATTCGAGGTCGCCAAGTTCTGAGCAATAGCCTCGCGATTGAGTTGTCGATTTACCGCGATAGAGTCGTTATCTTGATCACCACCAAAGTCAATAAATGCTTCGCGATTGGTGATATCGAAATCGTCGTCGCTGTCGCCCTGGATAACCAAACTCGGCGGACGAAGGTTCTGAAAAGAAGAAGCACCTTGATAGTCCGACATGTGTCTGCAGCTGTTTTCGGATATCGCGCCTCTTGACTCGGTTTAGGTCGACGATGATCTCAAAAAAAACCCTATTTCTAGACTAGAGGCTCGAGAATTATGTCATGGGGGTTTTCCCAAAGTTTGGGTCGCGAGAAAAACTGGTTTCGTCGATGGCGCGAGTCGTGAAAAGAAGCCTGATGAGTTGGAATGCGTTGACGTCGCGATATCCATTACCTTAGCCATTAGGTTGTGGAGGCGGACCGATGGGGGGTAGATTGGGATCTTTCAGGGGTACTCCGGAAGATGCAGGGGTTAAACAACAGCCACAGAGCACCATCCATGTCTGGACTAGCGGGCTGATAAGTCCCTTGTCCTTTGGTGTGGCGTACATGGAAGCAAGCCTCAAAGCAGTCGTCATTAGCTTCATGTGGTTCTATCTGGCTTCAATAATTATTCCCACATCCATAATCTTGACATAACGAACGACGGCAAGGTTATAGGAGCCATGCAGCAAACTATCTTACTCCAATAATGTCAATTCGCGTCATTCGACTGTGGCCATGAATAACTTACACTCGCTTCTCAATACCAACTCAACACCTCGACTACCACTCCTTCGAAGCTTTCAATAGCGATTCACCACGATTACTTTGCTCGAGGACTCCCTTTACACTCTCGTGATGGAAAACACTTCTCATAATAAACGGGATACTTCACCTACGCCGTCTTCATCCCACCGACGAACCCCTTCGAATTCCAGTATCCTATCCAAGTTCCCCTTTTTAAGAACATCCCCCGAAAAGCGACACGAGCAAAACGAACATGCAATCGACGACAATGCCATCCCAGCTTCTCCTCGCCCAGCCGTGCGACCATCAGCGAGCGTAATACAGTATCAAAGAACTCGCAGACGAAGAGGATCACTTAGGAAAGCGGCGCTGCTTGGTCGAGGAGCACAACGTGAGCGGAGGGAGAGCCGACCGTTAAGCATTGACACTTCGCATGCTGCTGCGTACGGTCTCGACCCTAATGCTGTGAAGACGGAAAGTCCGTCCTCGGTAGAGTCGCTGGATTTGAACTCGACATCGAACAATGCGCAACATAATTTAGTCAATGGATTCACCCCTCTCCCTGGAGGACTTGGTACAACACCGGTACTTCCTCAGAATGGAACAGCATCACAAACGACGACTCGTCCAATATCACTTGCCGATCAAGATGGGTCATCTTATACGTCAACAGACGAGGAAGATATGCTTCAAATACCGGGGAGTTCATCGACAATTCGACAGGGTTTGTCCTTGTCTTCTGGGCAGGACTCATATTTTAATAGTCTCGGCTCGGCATCATCTCACGGGCGAAGACGTACCGTCAACCGGGCAAAGTCACCATTATCATTCAGTGGTCTTTCATCCAACACACTCCCCGCTCACGAAGACTGGGACTACGCAGAGACAGAATGGTGGGGATGGGTTGTCCTATGCGTGACATGGTTTGTGTTTGTCGTTGGAATGGGATCATGTCTAGATCTTTGGAGCTGGGCATGGGACGTGGGAAAGACGCCGTATGCGCCGCCAGAGTTCGAAGACGATGATACGTTACCAATCGTGGGGTACTATCCAGCGTTGATCATCCTCACAGGCGTTATGGCTTGGGTATGGGTTGTTGTCGCTTGGGTTGGTATGAAGTATTTCCGGCATGCCAAAATTAGCGGCGACTAACGCGAGCGTTTGGCTATTTCTGGCTTTAATATCTAGTCTCGAATTGAGTTCTGACATGGACGAGGCTCGATGCTATTAATGATTGTAAATGATAACTTATTAATATCTCTGAACATCGTGGCTTCGGTAGTGAATTTGACAGGTTACTTTTCAGCTGCATTTATGTCTTAATTTAGCTGAGAACTCCAAATCAGGTGGTCACTGCAGCTGTTGGTTGATCAATTGTTGGCAGCTGTACACTTCCAATCCCTTGTCAAATATCTCATTGGTGTTTTTTAAAAGTTAAGCGCCGATACAGCGGCAACACACGCCAGGGCGCCAATCACGTCAAGACTGATACTGACCAACAAATAGCGACATTGAATCGTGGCATGCTCAGCGGGGTCTTTGCAAGCCTTTGACGAGGAAGCTCGATGGAACCAACACATTAAAGTTTAACTTCGCAGGAAATTTGACCCTTTGTATCAAGGGCTTGGACTGGGCGTGAAAGATCCATGGCTGTTATTCCTCAAATGGTTGTGTTCTTACGTGAGAAGCCAAGGGATGAGTGGCGATATTGAGTATTTTGTTGCACAGGCAGCCAAGATGATGTGCGTTTACGACGGAATATTCCAGTAAATGATTAGTAAGTGGTCAATATTGATGCATATGTCCCGTCCCGTAAACAAAATCATCGAAAGCAGCTGCTATTGAAATATGGAGATCTAGGGTAGCTGTCGGAAATCAGATATTATCAAACTTAATGGTGTCCAAATTCCCCGAGGACATCAATCATTTCCCTATTGAGGTTGAGCAACTGTCTAACGGTTGATTCGCATGCAGAGATCGGCGAGATAATCCCCAAGAACATCCCTCGAGACTGACTGGGGTTGAGGTCGAGAACTCGCCGCCTCCGACAATGTGGTTCTTGGCCACTATCAACATCATGAGGCCGAGCATCTTGGCAGCAGGAATACTTCATGAGATGTAACCAACAATCGATGTTGCATACTTATAAATATTTCACGGTATATCAGATATCTTGATCGATATTCGTATAATAGCCGCCAATGCCATGCTCATACCCCCAACTAACAAAAGCGCATCCGGGACGTGGGGGGGGGACCAAATCCGAGCCGAAGTGACCCAAGCCCGAATAATTAGCCTCCGCTCTTTTTCTTGGCTGGCGGCCCGACACAAGCTTATTACCTCGTGGACATGGCCATGAGGGTAAGTCTGAGGTCTCGTGATGACTTTCTATAGCGAGATGCCTTGGATCTTGGATCTAACTAACTAGACTGACACCGACTATTGATCGAAAGTGCAGAGATTTTGTCTTATCGTGATCCAACTTATGATGTGACAACGTTGTGTTTCATCTGTATACAAAGCAAGTCAAGCCACTGCATCAGAAGTGATCATAATCATCATGCAAGAGCCTGTCAAGCTTCATATGTCGTTGTCAAGATTGCATGGACTTGGGTGACTTGCTTATTTATTTGTTTACCCACAAAGGTGTTCGTCAAGGTTGTTTATTATGCATACGTCGTACTATGTACTCACTACCTTACTCACGTCAATGGAGCCACGATCCAGCTTGATACCAGTCATGACACTGTCTTGGCGCCATCAACCTTTTTTCTTTGTGTCTGAAGGTGAGAAACCCCTCAACAAAGGACAAGACCAGGTTTGAGGAGTTAGCGAGAATCGGATCCGACTATTGTATTGACTAAATAAATAAATTACGAGCTGAGTAATAATAACAAAAGCAAAAAAGGACAAAGTGACAGGACACAAGACATGGAAGGGAGACCTAAGCCCTTGTCAATCTCCAGCTACGCCTGAAACAATTCCGCCCGTGGCCATATGTAATCAAAATCAAACCACTCAGAAGGGGTCCCAACCTCACTTGAACTGACAGATCCAAGGCATTTGCATATTTTTATTTTTCTCATTTCAGCTGTCAACAAATAAACCAGGTTCGGGGGCCTATTGCATGCACGAGCTTCTTTTGATGAGCTTGTCTTGAGCTTTGAGTCACCTCACCCATCAGCTTAGTTTGGGTTCCTACAGTAGCCTCGCCATGCCCGAGTTTTGATGATTTTTTTGCCATCCGTCCATCCAATTCAGCCACCTACCTACATATTTGCCTGTTGCCAAGATCCACAATCTCATCCATTCTCATGCAGTAGATTCGGGGGTTGTTCACTGAAGAGGCGAGTAATGAGCGAGTGGAAGGGGAACTATTTTGACGAGATAAAACTATTGCTGTGGACAAGATATTATTCCATCCAATGCTAGAGCCAGTAGAGACGTCTGTACTGTAGCTGTAGCTAGGTGTACGCTGTAACAACCGAACACATCCACTCGATCCTCCCTTTTGGTGACCATATCTTCCCAGGTCTTCCCTGATCTCTTTCGATTCCTCTTCTAAACTTATCATCACCATATCTGACTCGTCATCCTCATCGATAGTTCTTCAATTCAAATATACATCCTGCAATCGAAATACCTGACAATTCGATATCTTCATCACCTTCAAGACAAGTACATACCTACTGTACCTTGCTGCAGCTCATCAGGTGTCGGATCTCTCCACCGCCACACACGCACACAAACACACAGACCCTCCCCCATTTCTCTTCTCCCCCGAAGCCCCAAAACCCACCCAAAGAGAGACCACCCCTGGCGCGCCCGCCTAATTCGGCCTCCCCTACGGCCCCTACCATAGGTCACCTACAGCACCTCATCAGTGGAGGGACTCGTCGGCCGAATGCCTGGGCTTCCAAAACCCGCCTAAAACCAAACCAAACCAGCCTCTTCACCCCATCCCCTTCAACTCACTTACTCACTCAACTCTCCACTCCGTCTTTTCTCCCATCTCCCATCAACTTACCTCTGCAGCCGTTCCAACACCATCTCCCCAAAATACCCTTTCCATTTCCATCTTCCTCTTTTTCTCGTTTACTGGTGTTGTACGTATCCTCCATCCATAGCGTCTATCCTCGAATCTCCTCCTTTGGCCGTCGGAAACCATTCCCCTGCAATCTCACGAGTAATCCTGCGCCAGACTCACTCCACCGCGTCACGATCCGTTACGATACCCTCAAAATCCTGTCCGACTCGATCTACCCTGACCAGTTCCCCCATCGAGGGGCTTGTCCATAGCATCATCGACCTCGCTTTCTATTGTGTTGTCCTTTAAACGTTGCGAATCTGGCTTGCTTTCTTGTCGTCAGGCTTCAGGTCGCCACACCATCTCGACAAATTGGGGTCGTTAATAATCCCTCCCATATCATACCTCCGGAACCCGTCTTGACCACCCTTCAACACCATCAACCGCCAACATGAGGGAAGTCAATTTCAGTATCCCCAACGTCAACAAGGCGTCCGTCGGCATCACCACCGCCCTATATGACCGCCGTGCTCTCGACTGCACTTCGACCCTCCCCCTCATCAACTCCCTCAACCATCTCGCCTATCTCACCACATCCTCTGCTCGTATCCGTGATATCCTCACCGTCGATGGAGGCATCGAGCGTCTCGTCTGCATTCTGAAGCAAGGTCGTAGTAAGGACATGATGGGAATGTGGAAGTGGAACCTTGCTTTTCAGTGTGTTGTCAATATCGGCGTCCGAGGCACGGAAAACGTCCGCACCAGAGTTGTTGAGGCTGACATGGTCCCCGTTATCGCTACCATCCTCGATAACTATACAAAAGCTGTTGATAAATGCCGCGAGAAGGCAGAGGAAGCCAAACAGAAGCAGAGCTACGACCATCATCGTCACCGAAGCCATGAACACCGTTCAACCCCTAAAGCTTCATCCTCCAATACAGCATCTGCCTCTGCCTCTGCATCATCCTTATCCTCCACAACAGTAGGTGCTTCTGCGTTCGGCCATCGATCCAGTTCTCGTGTCGATGCCACCGAGCAGCGATCTCGTCGTCACGGCCCGCCGCCGTCCATTGATGTCTCAGCCTCTTACGCTGGGCCATCCACCGCTGCTCCTCAGCCGCAACCGCAACAACAGCCCGCTGATACTGCTATGGGCAATTCTCAATGGTCCCAGTCTTCTTCAGAACGATCTACGTCTTGGGGTTCATCTCGTCACCAGCCCCTGAGGGGTCTTGAAAGTCGTCACGCCACGACTTCGGCCCCTCGTCAGGCCATGCAGCCCCTTGCAACTGCAGTTCCTGCTACCGAGACTCTGGAGGGCTTTGTGAGACCTGTTCGTGATATCGACCGCCTTGCGTCAATGGCACCATTCGGCTCAGATCTGATCTCTCAACCCACATCGCCAACGACCCCACTGCCACCGCCCCAGATGCGATCGCCCACCGTCCGCCCAGCATCTGCTCTTGGGTCCCAACGATCTCGTAGACGCCCATCGATCCGCCACCAGAACTCGACTGCCGATGCCGACGACATTAATGGAGACAGCATGCCGTCAGACGAGTCACCTGAGACGGAGATGACAGGTACTGATAACCTGCAGTCAGCTGTTGGTATCCAGGATATTACCATGGAAGACGGTGACACCATGCTCGGTGGTACAGCTCTTGACTTGGCTACGCCAACTGTCTCCGAGACCCATCAGGAGGCCAGTACCTTCAACATTAACCACCGTAACCCCATGGACGGAAGTATCGCCAACAACAACACCCCGGCTCCGGTTCCTGCAATTGGCCTCTCACCTAACCGTCCTACTTTGAACACACCCCCTCAGCCCCCTCTGGCCGCCACTACCGTCCCTCGATATCTCCTTGACCGCAACTTTGTTCCCAACCCCCAGATGGTCGCTGCCATGCCTCGAGAGGAGGATGTGCTCATGTCTTTACAGCTTCTTGCCTATGTCTCGAAGTACTGCGGTCTTCGCTCCTATTTCCAGAAGAGTCATCTCGTTCCCCGCCTCAAGATTGGCAAGGAGCTCGCTGCTATTGATAAAGACATCTCTGCCATGGATGAAGAAGAGGAAGAGCCCGAGGTCTACGAAGAAGATGCCGACGATGAAGAGTACCTGCTCCCCAACGACTTCAACCTCTTCCCATTGGTCGAAAAGTTCACAGTCCGCTACCACAGCACTGATATGCAGTACTGGGCCGGCGTTGTTATGAGAAATCTCTGCCGCAAGGATGACACACGTGGAGGTATCCGCCAATGTGCATACTATCAGTGCGGCAAATGGGAAGAGTACACTCGCCAGTTTGCCAAGTGTCGTCGATGCCGACGTACCAAATACTGCAGCAAAGAGTGTCAGAAGAGCGCATGGGCTTTCCACCGCCACTGGTGTGTAGCGGCCACACAGTAAGGTCTTTCGGTGGTCGCTCAGCACAATGATTTACACGACAATCAATTCGTAACAGCATCTTCTCGGCGCATCCTGCGGCATCAATGCTTGATTCATACGCATTATTCTTTCAAGGGTTGCAAATGCATTGCACAGCAAAGCGTGTCATGAGCGCATGGCGTTTCTTCTCGATACCACTGGTTTTGCTTTCTTTTTCATGGGCGTATGGGGTTGGGCATCATTAACGGTCATTGACTTTGGGTGCATCGTCGCATCTCATTGCACATTCAATGTTTCTTTGTCTCTTATCTAACACTTCTCTCACCTTGGAGGTTCCCTTTTCTAATTATTTCTTATTGGTGTGGCTGCAATCGCTCAGGGGTATGTATCTCTGAGCTCTGGCGTTTTCAACCGCGAGCGGGCATTAAGCAGACGACAATGGTGCTCGTTTATGTATATAGATACCTTTTGACTGCTGGGGGCTCTCGGATGGCACCACTTTCGAGGGCATGGACATCTGGATATGACTTGACGACGGAGAACGACGGAGGAGGCGATGGTGATTCGCAAAAAGACGACACGGGCAGAGTCGGCTGCAAAATTGATTCAGTGGATACTGATTTGCATGTTCAACAGGGTTGGATGTGCAGCCTGCTTGGTGATTGAGGCCATAAAAGGGCATCATCTTGGAGGCTATCGGGACTGCTCAGACTTGATATGCAGTCGAAATCAGAATCTGCTATATATTCCTTTGGGTATAGATGAAATGACCAAAAATTCAAAATACCTGAGTCCTGAAGTGATTGACTGACGTGTATTAATCCGACAAGTGTCTAGCTAGACCTTGGGTGAAGATTTTGTAGGCACTTGAGATTAAGTTTTTCAGATCAATCACATTGTGCATGTATGAATAGTATTGTGACAGAAAATATGAATATTCACCAAATGGTTTCGATTTACATGCAAGAGGACCCTAAACGCCAGCCCTTGTACTTCATCTCTAGCCTTTCTTTTCAACAGCAATGCATCACGCAAGCCAATCCCCCACTCAATCTCACCAACGATTATCAACACAATGCCTCTCCCCCTCTTTACCGAGAGCCCATGGCCTTCCGTCTCGCCTTGCCAGGCCGGGACTTGGAAACTCTGCTGCCAGCCTTCATCTTCTTGGGGTCGAAGCCACTGAGATCGCCAGAGCTCATGGCATCGCCAGACTTGGCGTGGCGCTTCTTGCCACCGAAGCCGTACTTCTCGTTCTTCTTGGCTCGCTTGTGGTTGGCTCCAGCACCAACTTGGCCGCGACCGGCGCCTGCGCGAGGGTTGTGGCCCTTCATCTCCTTCTCGACACCGACGTCGAAAATGTCGGCTTCCTTGGTGTCGAGACCCGCACCACCAGTTTCTGAGCGCTCTAAGAATGTTTGTTAGTAAAGAGTCACGTAGAGGTGGTAAGTGGCGGGAATGCTTACTTCGCTTGAGGTTCTTGATCTTCTCAAGAGTCTCACGCTTGGCCTTGTGTCGCTCCTGGAGCTTAGCAACCTGGACTTGCTTTCCGAACTTCTTGAGGTCGCGCAACTTGCGAGCCTCCTGGGCAGCCTTCTTGTTAGATGCCTCCTCCACAAGCTTAGCCTTGACCTTCTCCATATGAGCATCCTCCTTGATCATCTCGGCGAAGTAATCCTTGGGACGAGAGAAGGGGACATTTTCTTGTCGCAGAAGCTTCCGAGCAGAGCGAGCGGCCTCGAGACTCTGGCTGTAGAAGGCGAGCTCGCGCTGCAGATCGTCTGACACGTCGGGGATGGACTCGGCGGTCAAGTCTGTTGAGATGATGGATTGGTGGGTGGCGAAAGGGACGGACTTGTCTGTAGGGACGGCGATGCGGTTCAGCGCGGCGAGGAGAGCGGTTGTGTTGTTGATGGTGAGGCGCTGGTGGGGGATGATGTCTTCCTTGTCCTCTTCGTCAAGGTCCTCGAGATCAGACATGGGAATATCCTCTTCATCCTCCTCTTCCTCATCGTCGTCCTCTTGGGCCGCAGCCTTCTTCTCAGCTGCCAGCTTTGCGATTTCGCTCTTCTTGAGTGTATCTCTCTTTGGCTTGCGAACAATCTTTTCCTCGAGTTCGATTGAAGAATCTGAGTCGTCGCTGTCGTCGATGCCGTTCAAATCGTACTGGCCACTGTTAGTCAAATTCTAGAGCGCAAGATAATTCAGAACAAACCTGAGCCTCTTCCTCTTCCTCATCATCCTCCTCGTCCTCGTCCTCATCATCATCTTCAAAATCAGCCTCAATCTCAATTGTCTTCTTCTTCTCGTCTTCCTTGTCTGCCCCGCGAGCAGCAGCGTTGCGCTTCTCAGCCTCCTTCTGCTTTTTGAGGAGCTTGAGCTTCTTGAAATCTGTGCCCTTCTCAGCGGCGAGGGCCATCTTTAGTTTGCTTTTTGTGACCATTTTTACGTATGTTTATGTCGATGCGACTTTGTCGTGTTTGGTAGTCGGCGCAAAGCTTCTGGGCAAATGTTACTGGGTGCTAATAGGAAAAATCTCCAAATTCTGCCGCGGGACTGTCTTCACCGCCTTGACTTTTTTTTAGTGGAGACTTTCCTTTCAGCAGTTGCCAATGAATGCTATCCACTCACTCAATCGCAGGATGACGACCAAAACTTCAGATCTGGATCAGGCAAGGTCTAAAAAATATGTGGTAACTAGTTTAAGGGTGTTCCAAGTTTATGCTATTATTTGAACTTATGTAAGCCTTTGGTTCGCTTGGTATCGTACTGCCGTCTTTGGTTTCTGGCCTCTCCTAGACAAGCTTGGGGGGGTAATAGAAGAAATGGCCGGTTTAAAATGTTAAAATACTCATATAAAATTAGATAAAAACCAAGTCTATTCTTTCTTCTGGTACTTATATTCTTCTAAATTTCATGTCAGACCGACTCTTACTTCTGTTACTTCGGGGACAAGCTTCACTCATTCAAGCGTCTCCTCTCAGCGAAAGTTCGTTTTGCTCCCAGCAAATCATCTGCATTGAGGACATCGACACCCTCATCAAGCAATAGCTCCTCAAGTTGTCTCCGAACGTTCAATGGCAGAGTTGGAATGCCCCAATATCGAACCTTGAGACCCCGTCTATGGGCTTGAGAGATCTGACAGCGTATTTTCTCCAGCTGCTTTGCCTTAAGACCTTTCTTACGAACCTTCCCAATAGTCTTTTTAAACGAGGTGCTGGCATAGTATGAGTTGGTGTTGTTGTATGAACCTTGTTCCAGTTTTTTGAGCGGTGCATCAAAGAAGACGTCGCGTGAAGGGTTGTCCTCGTTCACCATGCGAAACTTTGTCTCACCAGTTCCCACGACTGTGATGGGTCTTGACACAAACTTGCCATCACTGACACGGCTCAACCATCCCTTTCGACGAAGCGGTTCCAGCTTCTCCAGTAACAGTGGCCATGATTTATCAGGATTCGACTTCAAGTCCACCAGCAACACCACAGTCTGATCGGGTTCGCGGTCATATACACCTCGAGGCAGAAGCCTTGGATCTCTGTCTTGATTCTGAGTCTGAAGCAATTCCACTAGAGGTCGAATGTACATCGACGTCAGTGTCCTTTCAGTTGATAGTTCGGACTTAGCATGGCCGACTATGAGTTCATCCTGGACCTTCCAAACATCTACTTCGATGCCAATGCAGCCAGTCGCAATGGCTGAGGTAAAAGGCTCGGCCCTCCAATAATCGTTATGTGAGTGGCATGGTATAGGAATTGTGTTATCAGGCCCTGGGTCACGTCTGATGTGAAGACTGTCTGCTTGTGCTTCAGATATATAAGGCCAGATCATGGATGTGGTGGCAAGGATACCAGCGACCATCAGGGCTATTGAACTATTCGCAGTCAGAAGCAGAGAATGCATAGTAGAACTCAAGGTTCACCTAATAGCGGCTACTATCATACCAAAGGCAAAGATACAGGGGTTTGTCTTGGCCTCCAGGCGAGGCACTCCCCTTTTGGAGGCCATTCTTGTTGCTTTCTGCCCTTGGGGTGATGAGTATATTGCCCGTTGCAGTGGTTTCTTGTGGTTGTTGCATAGATGATGATCGAGTTGAGAGGTTGACGATTGAGACAGAACTACAGGCCTGCTATGCACTAGGGAAACATCTTCTTTGTGCTCACTATGGATTAAAGCCGCTTGATGAGTTGATTCTTAAGGTTTAAGGAAGTTGTCTTGTGATCTGTTGAGGCCCTAACATTAAGGTTACTATGTAGGTTTGTTGTGTTAAACATACTATTATTGTGTTGTCTTGACTGTGTGCCCGTCATACAATAGGTTGTGTGCTGTGAGATGGGCATGGTAATTGAAATCACGGCTGAAGGTGGCTTCGGGACGTCGAGATGGCGAGGCTATGATGATGTCAGCAAGAGTCATTAGAAGTCAGGTCGGATAACGAGCAAAGTAGGCAGGTATGTATGTATGAAAGGTTAGCATGAATCTATAGATGTTTTGGCACGCCATTTATGAGAGAGAAAGTAGTCCTCATTTACAACGATATTCTGTCCTTCGCCTTCCGGCCTCAAGTCTGTTACCCTCTAAGGCCGCTATACTAATAAGTTCTCACGGCAATGAACATCCGTATCTAATCATTCTTATGATCCGCCCAAAAACATACATATTAGGTAGGTTTCCGAGTCTCCGGAATATCACCGAATGCACTCTTGATATTACCTAGTGCAACCCATTGACAGACGCGTCATGGAGATCGATAACCCCGCAAGTTGTATCAGGAATGGAAACATCTCCGCCATGACTTGACCTTGACCTGATAGCTTTCTTCGATATATTGTCACTGAACCTCTCTTCTTACAACAATCAACAACCATATCACATTCATCTCTACAGTCACAATGGCCAACGAAGGACGCATCGCCACTCTGGATGTAAGATAACTCAACCGTGACACAACTCTAAAACGAAATCATGCTTATTGAACAACAGTCAACCATCGCCGATAGGCTTCCTGCCTATTCCAGGACTCTCTTTGACGGAAAGGCCGCCAAGGATCTGAGCTTTGAGGCAATTGCAAAGCACCTAGGCCGTAGCGAAGTTGCAGTTGCAGCATTGTTCTACGGACAGGCCACCGCCTCACCTGAGGACGTTGAGAAACTATCAGAGATCCTGGACCTCCCAAAGGAGACGTTGGCTGCCCAACTAACGGGCTTCCCTAACCGTGGTCAGGCTGGACCTATGCCTCCTACTGAGCCTCTCATCTATCGACTGTACGAGATTGTTCAGAACTATGGATATGCTTACAAGGCTATTCTTAACGAGAAGTTCGGAGATGGTATCATGAGCGCTATTTGCTTCTCAACTACCGTGGATAAGGAGGTGGATGAGGCAGGCTCACCATGGGTCGTTATCACATTAAAGGGCAAATGGTAAGCCACAAGCTATTCTTAGTATTGAAATCATACTGACTAACATGTACAGGCTTCCTTTCAGTCGTTTCTAAGTATTGTTCTTATTTAAAATTGGGTTGACTAGCCGCGGCATGGCCATGATGCATGCTGTGCCACTTCCGAGAATGACCACTCAGATATCAATTGCTGCAATTGGGTCTCGGGGAGAGTTGTAAAGGCTCACCCAGTCAATAATATCATATGATTCCAGTAATTTGGCAGGGGGAAAGTGGCGATGTAGCAAGGAACAATATGAAGCGAGAGAACAATATTAAGCACTTTACAAAGGAACACCAATGTTCAAAATCCGTGCTTTCGCTATCGTTGCACCACATGATACTACAATTGAATCAGATTTCAGTTAATGGAGACAGTTTGAAAGCCTTTCCATGTATAATTCGAACCAGGGGTAAGTCCGAAGGCCGGTGACAGTTTGGTGGCTGGACTAGCGGCGGATATCCTTTTGTCTGGCAGCAACACCATCTCGAGAACAATATTAAGCATTTTTGCACGGATCACAGGCTTCACGACCAACATTGTAACTCCTCACGAACATCGCTTTTCTCCCCATTATGTTAGATAATCTTACCACGACAAGTCTGCCAAATTCGAGTATAAAGATCAGGTCGTCTTCCCTCGAATCTCATTCTCATCAACGCACAACAATCACTCACTTACACACACAATCACTCTTTTCACCATTCTCATCACAGAACACTCTCCGACTTTTCTAAGTCTTTCAACCCCAACTTTCAAAATGCCTTCCACCAAGAACACCACCGCCCAGACCCCCGGCTACCCTCTCAGCTGCAGCGTCATGGCCAAGCCCACCAAGGACAACCAGACTCCCGGCTACCCCCTGAGCTGCAGCGTCATGAAGAAGCCAGCTGCCAACGGTCAAACCCCCGGCTACCCCCTCAGCTGCACTGTCATGTAAATGGCTTCAACTCACGGCTTCAACTCCACTGGGCTCTTGAGAGCGACTTGACAACTCGACAAATGCAACACCAGTACTTGGCTGAGCATTCGCTCTCAGATTACAATTGGAGGAAGATGGAGATGATACGGCAAAGAGAGGATCCAATTGGCTTGATTAATATTTTGTTTACCTGGCTTTGAGTGACGGGACGCCGACATTTGGACGCCATTTTTATACCGGGCTGGCCGGTTTCATCAGTCGCGAGGTGGAATCTGGACGCCCATAAGGAGGAGGATGGGGACGTTTTACTACTTTCTTGAATACAAGCCTCTGAATTTATTTTTGAGTCTCTTCGCTAAGTGGATGTGATTTGAATGTCATAAATCGTACAAGACATTTCATTCTCAATGTGAAGTTGACACTACGAGACTCATGGACTGTTTCACGATCTCAATATACAAGACTGAGATGACTCAGTAACTGAAATCTTATTGAATTATCCGTGAGAACGGACAGGGTATCCCTAGAGATACCATAACCAATGTCATGTCGAACTACCCAGGTCTTCACTTACACCCACTTCACTTAGACTCTTGTCTACTTGACGCGAGAGTCAGTTACTCAAGAAAAATAAACTCAGTAATATAATACAGATAATTCTAGAAAGATCAACGAAGCCTAAGATTCCGGGTATCGTCTAATTGTTCAAATTTGACAAATAACATCATAACTTCAAACCCATTGTTTGATAACCCAACCTGGAAGTTCCCTAAGGTGGATCACACTTAAAGATCAACGATGGAGAGATAACTTGGCCTGCCAAGCGAGAGGAAAAGATCATTTTGAAACTCATAGATTGAAACAAATTATTCGACTAGATTTTGATTCAAGGCAGAAACTGTATGATATGCCGAGTCTTAAATATCAAGATTATTACATTCTTTGGCGTGGTGTACCTACGCTTAGATTCTGAACACCACAGCGGTTTGGGGGCGCAAAACCACTTATCGATAAGAGAATTTTTGGCAACCTTGGCAACCTTTCATCTTCAAGTTTGTCTTCAACTTTAATCGTATCACGATTCAGCGCTACCACTACAGAAACCCCATTCTTCAAATCAGAAACAGCCTTCGTTCGGCCCAGAGATATATCAGGAAATCCCAACATGCCTCACAAGCACAAAAGAAAGAGGGGAGATGACGAAGCAGAGTACGTCAATCTTTACTCTCGATTGCACAGGCGCATCTGACTTTTCTAGCTTCAACCTCCCCCCCACCCAAAAAGCACGACCTTTACAAGTAGGAAAGAAGACCGCGACACCAGCAAAGGGGGGAAAGGATACAAAAGACACAAAAGATGTTGCCCCAAAAGCGAAAAAGGGCAAGAAGGCTCGCAAAGAGAACGATGCACCTCGAGCTTTTAGACGACTCATGTCTGTCGCACAAGGCAAGAAAGTGAGATCTGGACTCGACGATGGCGGAGATACGAAAACCGCAAAACAAAAAGCAGAGGAGCTCAAGATCCGTCCAGGCGAAGATCTAAGGGCGTTTGCTCAACGAGTCGATGCCTCACTGCCAGTCTCAGGCCTTACCAAAAAGACGACCATCAAGGATGGCAAAGATGAGCAGGGATTCAAGGTCTACCGCACTCGAAAGGAGAGAAACATGCACAAACTTTACGCCCAATGGAGAGAAGAGGAGCGAAAGATCCAGGAGCAAAAGGAGGAAGAAGCAGACGAAGCAATCGGACTAGAACTTGACGAAGATCCTACCGGTGCTGCAGCAATTGCACGAGCAACACTCAATGAAGCAACAGGCAAGCGAGCACGACGGAAGGGTGGAAAGGTCGACGATCCTTGGGAGGAGTTGAAGAAGAAGAGAGCGGAAGCCAAGATTGCTGTGCACGACCAGGCGCAAGCACCGCCTGAGCTGAACAAGAACATGACAAAACAGATCAAGATCAAGGATGCTACTGCTGATGTTGGAAATATCCCCAAGGCTGCGGGCAGTCTGAAGAGAAGAGAGGAGTTGCAGGAGGCTAGGGCGGATGTTTTGGAGGCGTATAGAAAGATTCGGGAACATGAACAGGCCAAGTTGTTGAGGGCAGGCCTCTAATACCCTGCTTGAGCGAGTTTGTGTTTAAGGAATTTAGAATTGCAATACCAGCAAGAGTGTTTCCATGCTGCACCTCGCATCTTATTTCCATTGTATTGGGGGTAGTCTCTGTTCGGCGTTCACTGGCTTGGTAGTAGTGTAGCCATAAGACACATAGTGTACGTATTCCCCAGAAGGCTCAACCTCATATCTCAGCAGCTTCAAATCAAGGTTCAAAACTCACCAATTTGACGGTGACGATGACCAGCACAATTGTCTCGTGAGGTCATCGGGCAGGGCAGAGTCAACCCCTCTCATGGTAGAGGTTGGTCGGAGGATATGTTCCACTGGTGTTTCTTGTCTCTCTATCACATGGGCCGACCCCAATGAGGGGGGCATTGAGCTTAGACAGAGGGGTTACTGAGCTGAAAGAGTAGATGCCATGTCTTATGCGGGACAAATCAGTTTGATAGAAGTTCATATCAATCCCCCTTGCACAAACCATGGCTGAATGAAGTGAAACCTCTGGGATGGAAACCACATGGCGATAACATGGCTCAAAGAAAGGCATGAAGGCGTTAAATGATATACCAGCTCACGGCAACGGTGGAGGTGGAGTTGAGTTGGAGCTGTGGGCCGAACTAAAGTGAGTCAATGACATTGAAAAAGTTGAAGTTGCTTTTGTGAGTTTCCCAATAAGATATTGCTCAGGCGGGAAGCAAGGACATGGGTATGAAGTGGTTGCCAGAACAGGGCGATTGGGTGGTATCAAGTGAAATTCCTTACTTTAAGGGGTAGCTTTGGCAGTTTAGAGGCTTGAGATGTGATTGATTATTTGATGACTCAATGCTTACCCGCATCTTCCATGTCATTTCATTTCACTTTGACGCCTAAATTGCTCTTGTGCAACCAGCCAAGTATCACAGGCCGAAGCCGAAGTGGAGGAGCGCTTTAGAACGGGAAGTAGATCCAGAATGGGACACTTGATGGATCTGACGTAAGCCTTTCAGGGGGGCTCGCTGCAAGGCTCAGGTCCAGGGCCTTGGTTCCTGGGTTTATTTGGCTTGTTTTTTCCCCCCTTTTGTTGTGTTGGTTCTTGGGCACAGAAGAGGAACAGCAGATTTGGGTACATTTCCGTCATACCCATCGGCAATTTGTTTCAGTTGTGTTTCTCCCACGTTGTCCGCCTATACCCAAGGTACTCACCTCAGTGAATCAGGGTCTATCTTCTAAAATGCATCAACCAAAGACATATATTTGCAATGGAAGGTACAGTACACGGGCCTCTTGCTGCCGCGTCGATACTGCAGATACCAATGGAAAGAAACAGCAAGACCCAACCCTTAGCGTCTTGTCGATCTCCCTTCCACTTGCCGTTCGTGGTTTACTTCAGTTCTGAGCCTCTAGACTAAGGCGGTTACATCTCATCTCCAACTTGTCGGGATATTCCATTTCCAATTGAGGCCATGGTCTCGGTTTCTTCATTCCTTCGACTTTTAGGTTCCTCTCTCGGTTTCTCCTTCTCAGGAACACATCCAATCCCCACCCAGAACTCGATCTCAGCTTGACCTGAATACGGGAAGGCACGCTCATCTATTTTGACTTTATGGCTTTTAGGTCGGCTTCGGAGATCGACCCAGGGCAGTAGCTTGGTAGTCTAGCATCGCGCCTTGGTGTCATCGCCTCTATCTATCCCGTCTTAGTTTCAACCTAAGTTTTAGCTACGTTGGGTTTCCCACTTCTCATAGCGTACCCAGCTACCTACGTACATCAGTTGTTCTTGCGTCCTTCATCAACATCACCTCCTCGATCACAAACTCAATCTTTGTAGGAGCAACACCCCTGAGAATCCTCTCTACAACACCTTGTCGCAAACACTCAGACCATCGAATCTCGATACTACCTTACCATTGTACGAGCCACGATCTACCTAAAAAGCCACACCTGGTCCTTGTCCTCCCAAGTTCGGCTCCCAAGCATCTTCAAAGTCTCGTGACTTGATCTGCCCTGAACCTGGCATGACCCGACAATAAAGGCGCTTGTGGAATTCGGAAATCGCTAGCTAACACGAGCCTCAACGCGCCCTGGTCTGGTTGCTACCGCGGGTCCTGGCTTCACTTTCGCTCTGTTGAGCAACGACTGGCCTTTGGTCCTTTCAGGCGGCGCTGCCCGCCTTGGTGAATCGAACCACCATTGCTCGACTCGAATTTATCAACAGACATTTTGGTCCATGTCACGCCAGCTGTTATCCACGACATTTCGAAGCTTAAGCTCTCGCTCTTGCTTCATCTCAGCCCCCGACCATCTTGCCTCTTTTCTCTCGCTCTCACACTCAGTTATTCGCACATGGGATAATAGGCGGCTCCAGTTTCATCTGCCGTCCTCATGATCTGGTACTTCCTGTACCCACTCCGAGGGTCAGTCTTATTTGCCCCGATCCCTACCGTGCTTCCGTCCCCCTCTCCGTCTCCGTTCCCCGCTCCGTCCTCCGTCCTCCGTCTTCAGCTCACATCCTTTTGCAGAACAACGGAAGCTCCGGTTCTCGCGCCAACTCATCCTATACGCCGCGCCCTTCATAGATATGGATCATACGCCGCCAGCCATGTTGTCGCAACTCTCCTCGTTTCGGTCGTCGTGGCCACCATGCTAACTTATCCCATCCCTTACCTCTTCACTAGTGACTACGTCAACGGCGCTTCTAATCTCCCTCACCATGCTTGGACTGTCGCTCAACCACTACACTACGGTGCCAGCATTCGCCCCGATGTCATGATGCGCTCGATCTGGGTTCATGGCAGTTATATGCAGGCACTGGAACAAGATTTGCTCGTATCTGCCTTGGAACTGCAAAATGAGTTACTTGGAAGCACTGAGAATTTTCGCCCAATCCGCGCTCAACATGTTCCCCGTTCTTTGCCAGAACCGGGAGCCGATCTCTCGACAACTCAACGCGATGCTTTTCATGCTATCAATGGCTTGAATAACCAATCTTGGTTCTTCCACTCACCACTTCAATATTGGGATTGTATCCAAGAGAACATATTGGTCGACCCTGATATCCTGGCAACCGTCAATGACAAAAAGACCCAGTCTACATCAGTCAATGTCACGCTCAGACACTCCATCGTTTTTAGTGGAAAACGATTCGAGGAACGTCGTCTCGTTGCTGCAGATGCTCTCGTCATCACCCTTATCTATCTACGAGACTCACCCGTCGGTCAACAGTGGGAACGAAAAGCCGCCTTGTTACCGGACAAGGCTGCGAATAAATGGGATATCTACCCGTCTGACGGTCGGTCAACCTCGAGCCAGCTTTATGAGTTTCAGTTTCGCCCTATATCTCGCCAAGATACGGCTATCCTGGCAGTCGCGTATGCCTTAACATCAATCTACTTCCTTATGAGCTTATCAAAACTGAGGGCTTTCAAGTCCAAGTTTGGCCTCATCGTCACAGTCGTATCTCAGATCGCTTTCTCCGTCATATCAAGCTTCACCGTGTGCGCCATCTTCAGGCTTGACCTATCACGCATCCCAAGGGCAGCTTACCCGCTTGTAGTTCTCTCTATGAGTCTCGAAAACATTTTCAGGCTTATCAATGCCGTCATTCTCACCCCTGCTGAAGACTCGACAAGCAGCCGTATCGGCAACGCATTTGGAGAAACTGCCCATACAGCTATTACTAGCTCACTGCAGAACGTCTTTCTTCTGTTGATGCTTTCACGCTGGGTATCCCCTGGTGTTTCGGCTTTCTGCTTATTTGCCGCTGTCGCGATTGTGTTCGACCTTTTTTACCTTTCCACTTTCTTCTTGTCCGTTCTCAGCGTTGATGTCCGGCGTACCGAGCTTAGTGATGCGCTTGCCAAAGCTTCAATGCGTCATAATCGTAGGGGCTCTGATTTTAAGCCTCGTGGAACGTGGGAACTTGCTCTTCAAGGCAAAGCGACTTTGTCGACTCGCATAGCAGGCACTATCATCATGCTTGGTTTCGTTCTCATCGCTCAATGGCATTTTTTTGAGGAAGGCACTGTCTTCAACTTCTTTTCACGCCTTTATCGAGGGTATGGCGCCCTGGAAAACAGTGGCTCGTCCCAGAATCCTCTGGACTCCATACACCAGGCACGCAGTCCAAAGTCCTGGCTTCGCCTACAGGATCACGAAACGGCTCAAGAAATCATCAGTATCATCAAGCCCACAGCACACAGCTACGTTGCCAGGGTTTTCGAGCCGGTTGTTTTCGTCATGAAAGGTTCGGATCGTATGCCTCATCTTAAGGAACCGACTCTACTACCGGCACTTTATGACTTTATCAACCATCAACTCACCCGATTTGTTGTTATACTTCTCGTCGTTATTGCGAGCGTCCGACTGCTTACAACGTTTCTCCTGTGGGAAGACGAAAGTGACGATGATGATCGCCATTTGGATACGGATCCCACACTGGACGTCAGGTCGTTTACCGGAGGACACAGACTCGATGTTGTAATGCTTGCAGCCGCGGCTGATGGCCATGTCGTGTCGGTCGGCTTGGATCGCACAATACAAGTTTGGGATGCCCGGCACGACATATTCCCCTACACCATCGCTAATGGCAGTCACTCGGACGATGCCCCTTTTCCTGTGCTTGCCATGACTATCGATGACAACTCTAAGTGGTTGGCCATATTATCACCCACTAAGATAGCTTTATGGAACATCAAGGACAAAGTCTGGGGGCCTCCGCTTTCCGTCAATCTTCAAGGCCAGAAATCCGAGGCCTTCTTTTTCGGCTCGTCCGACACGAAAAGCGATATTCCTAGACTGGTCCTCGTACGCAGAAACGGCACACTTACCGAATTCGTGCCGGACGCAGGTGAAGGGGCAGACTACGGCATCTGCCGAAGTCCACTTACTTGCGTTAGACCTCTGATCGGGAAGGGTAAGTGTTATTCTTCGCAGAGACTTGGTTGATGTGCTAATCCGATGGTTGAACAGGGAGCAAGCAGGCAGCGCCATTAATTGCCATTATCACCGCATCTAGAAGA